TTTGTCGGCTATAGTCGGCTTTGGGAGGGTTTTGAATTACCCAATTCAGTTGAATAAAAGCAACATTTTGTGAGAGATCAAATAGAACAAATGACAAAGCAAAAGGTTAACTGAATATTCATTCTTCTTATACGAATAGTTGTTTTGTCGGCAAAGCTTTCAGGATAAAATTTTCCGGGATGCACACTAATTGCTCTTCTCAATTGTGGAGAGAGATCCGTAAAGGGAAAAGCTCTACTTTCCAATGAAGAAACAAGTAAGGAAATAAAGATTTTTAAAAAAATTGTTATTATGCAAAGCTTATGAAAAATTTTAAGAAAAAGAAAGAAAGAAGAAAAAGAAAGAAAGAAGAAAAAGCTAAAGAAAAAGAAACGTTTCTAGATTTGAAAAGAAGTACTCAAGTCAAAAGTTTGAGTTAAAAGAACTGGAATGCTTTTAAGCCAAAATTCTTATCAAATTCACTACTTTTAATGATTTTCGTCTTCAAATTCAATCTCTGAACATCGAATACCCATCAAAAACATATTTCGATAGACTGAAAGATAAAAGAAACGAGGAAAATTCGACGCCGAACTCGAAACGAATTGTGGTTTCTGAATATGAAAGCCAAAAACCTGAGAGATGTGAAATTTTCGCAAAGGGGCGTGGTTTAGAAAAGAGGAAGACAAAAGAGAGTGGAAGGGTACGGTAGGTGAAGTGGATGGGAAATGAAGTGCAGTGAAGAGGACGATGACGTGAGGTCGAATTTGTCCTCTCTATCTCTTCTCTTCTACTCCACCCCCATCTCTCTTCTCTTCAATGAATTCACTTCTCGATTTATCACTTTTGTGTAGGTGGGAACGAAATTGGGCAATTCTGATTCCATTCCTGAAGTCAACAAAGTCAACAAATGATTAGATTTGCTAGCTGATCGAAAACTGGCCACGAGTCTAACTAAAGAATAGCATTCCAATTGATCATAAGAACAGACAAAGCTAGAAAAAGCAAGGCCAGATGTTGGCCAGAGTCAGATGCAAGCCAGGCTAGCAGGAAAACCAGAAAAAGATAAGTTAACCTTTTGAACAAGTACAACAAGTTAATGTCTAAAGACCGGATTTCTTTGCCAGATGTGGACCATTTCAAACAACAAGCTGTCGATTTTTGAAAGATCACAAAAACACAAAATAAGCCAAAGACATGAAACGGACGGAACTCAGGGGCGGAATCCCACACGCACCGAGGTTCGGACCAAATGCGCAACGACAACCGCTCTCGGGTTGTGCCAGTCTAGTTAACTTACTAGGAAGAGATCAGAGAACGATCTTATGACAAATCTTTGAAAAACCTATCTCTTATGAGGAAGCCCTGCGCCAGACGGCGAGCGATTATGCAGCCGCACAAAGACCGCATAAAGAACACCTAACGGTCTCTTTACAAAGGATTTTCTTTTGTTCTGCAACCATTGTTCAAATGAGATATGAAGCCAAAAGTTTCTATTCGGGGATTTTCGAGGTCGCGGAAGCGATTGGCGGGGGTTTGTTGTTTTGTTGTATCTCTAATTTGTGCTGATCTTGAGCTATTTTTCTGTATTTTAGCTTCAAATGGTTATCGCGGCGGGGGATAACCCATAAGTATCTGACTTCCGCTGTGTGATCGAGTATTGTGCAATTTTGATCTCACCTCTGGATAAATATTCATTTTCCGTAATAACAGCAACTCTTGCAAAATAACAAGGCTCACTAGTCAGTCCAGAAAAAGCTACTCTCGTTTGTTTCCCGTGGAACATTCATAATTCATTCTCGCTTTATCACTTTGTGTGTAGGCGTTTTTTGAATTCTGATTTCATTTTTGAGTTATTTATAGTTATTTATAGGTATTTTGAAGTGAAACAGCTTGAAACGGTGCACCAGAAGGGGTACGCTTACCCATTTTCATGCACAAATTAAAGCTCTATCACTTATGCACTCATTTTGAAACGCATTTTGAAATTTTTACAATTTTCGCTCTTTTACCCATTTTTTAAGATTTTTTTTTAATATTATAAGGTCAAAGAAATAGTTTGAATAAAAATTTGCGCGTAAAACAATCGCAATTTCCTTGCTGAATCAGATCGTTTGCAGAAATTTCGAAAATGTTATGTAAACAAAAGAAATCTCATCTTTAATCTCACTCGAATCTATTGAATTTCACAAAATTTTGCTTTTTCGAGTGTCTATTTGTTTGGAGATAAAGAAAAAAATGAAGAAAAATGAAGAAAAATGACCTAGTTCAAATAAAATTTGATCTACTTGGGGGGAAATGAGGGGAGTGGGTTGTGAAATTGTTGTGAAATTGTTGAAAAATTTTGTTTTATCTTATAAGATCAACGGAAAGAGTTGCAATGTGGAATGGGTTTTGAAATCATGCGTTTTTGTTTATTAAAACGTTTTTTTGCTTTTTCAAACACTATCGTAATCCTTTAGTTTTATCTAATCTACCTAATTTTGATTTGATTTCATTTGAAAGTTTACGAAGGATACCGAAAGAAAAATCGGGTAATTTGGTTAACAATTAGAAGCAAGATTACGGTAGCTTTACGGTAAGTTGATACGATTTAGAAACCGCATAACATTGAGGATAAGAATTAACTTCTTGAACTAACTAACTTGAGGATAAGAACTAACTTCTGATTCTGATAATGAATTGTGCGTTTTTTCCTTTATAAAGAGACCGTAAGGTGTTCTTTGTGCGGCCGCCTAATCGCTCGCCGTCTGGCGCAAGGGTTTTCGGTAAGAGGAGCGTTTTTCCCTTTTGGTAAACGATCTGTACATTACGGAAAACCTGGATTCTGGCAAACCCTTACGCCGGTTTGGGGATGAGAACAAGCCGATTTGGAAACTGAAACAAATCGAACAGAATCGCTCGCCGTCTGGCGCGGGGCTTTTCGGTTGGTCGGTTCCAAAACAAGGTTTCAGTAAAAAGTCCCCCATTTGTCCACTTTTTTCCACTTCCTTTTATTGTTTTCATTTTTAAAAAGAAACCCCAATCTAGAGAAGCTCTAGATTGGGGTTTCGTTTTTTTTTCTCAAATAAAAACGTGCTTGAGTTGGAATTGACGTGGAAATTCTCTTGATTCAAAAAGAGTTTGAATATATTTAGTTTTTGTTCATTCATCAAGGTTTTTCTAGAGAAAACTGTCAAAATCAGCACTTTGTTGATGATTTTCATAATTAGCAACAAATGAAAGAGATTTAACTTGATCTTTAGATCTTTAGATCTTTAGAGATCAGGAATCTTTAGAGATCAGGAATCTTTAGAGTTTTCGATCAAATGTTTACTTTGGTCATAAAAATCTACCGATTCTTTGAAAAATCAAAACTTTTCGGTTTTTTTTCTTCTGGAGATGAATGGGTGAAAGTTTTAAAAAAGAAGCGATGATCTCAACTGATAAAGGAATGGAAGAGAATCAATCTTTTGACGGGGACTTTCTTTGAAAACACCCTAGGGACGCCCAATCAAAAGAACAAAAGTTTTTTTTCGTTTAAAAGCTGTGACAAATTTTTGTGGTTTCAGCTTTATCAAAACATTTTTTCAGCTAAAGTGTAGAGATTTTACCATAGCTTTTCTACATGAGGATTTATTTAAAAACTAACTCTAATAGTCTATTCTCCTGAAAAATACTCTAACGAAATAAACCGTAGTTCAATTGATGCATTTATTGGTTTTAAACGGAAGTAAGAAAGAAACGAAAAGACTTTCTGGACAGCCTAATAGCTAAAGTGCAGAGATTTTACCGTAACTTTCTAGATGAGGATTTATTTTTCAAAAAAACCGATATCCTAATACTCTATTCTCCTGAAAAATACTCTATTTTAGTCATAAATAAAAACTTGAGAAGAGTAGGCGCAAAATTTATGGGCTTTTCCCCTGGCCATTCAAAGTAAAAGCAACCGTTCAACCGCGAAATTGTTTTCTAAAAAAGCCGGAAAACTGCCCTTTATTTTGCTCTGTTCACTTCTTTTCTCGAAAAAAAACAATAAATATTTTTAAAAGCTATTTTTAACTCAAAGCTAGTGATTTTCCCTTCGTGCTAGAGTGGTTTTACCAATTTTTCTCAAAAACCATAGGTTCATTGGTGAATTTGTTATTTTTAAACGGAAATATGAAAAGGAAGAAAAAAGACTTTCTGGATAGTTTAATAGAATGAAGAAAAAGCTACACTTTACTTAAGAAAATCCCCTTTCAATGCCAAATTGGTTTTAGGAATTTTTCTCAAAAACCATATATTCATTCGTGAATTTGTTTGAAAAGACTGACGAAAAGAAAAAGAAAAAGATGAAAAGAAACGAAAAGACATCAACCAAATAGCTAAAGTGCAGAGATTTTACCGTAGCTTTTCTAGATGAGGATTTATTTTTCAAAAAAACTATACCCTAATAGTCTATTCTCCTGAAAAATACTCTATTTTAGTCATAGATAAAACTTGAGAAATAGGCGCAAAATTTGCGGGCTTTTCCCTTGGCCATTCAAAGTAAAAGCAACCGTTCAACCGCGAAATCGTTTTCTAACAAAGCCGGAAAACTGCCCTTTATTTTGCTCTGTTCACTTCTTTTCTAGAAAAAAAACAATAAATATTTTTAAAAGCTATTTTTAACTCAAAGCTAGTGATTTCCCCTTCGTGCTAGAGTGGTTTTACCAATTTTCTCCCAAAATATTTACCTCAAGCGATTCAGATATTTCAAAATTGTCGTGCTTTTTGACGTGCTAATCGCAAAGCTAAAACGCAAGCTAAAACTATATATTTCAAAAATATCGAACTGAAAAAAGAATCACAGATTCAAGAGATTTGCAAATAAATAAGAGATGAGCAAAAACAAAGAAAAAGAAAAGAAACACCGAGATTTACAAAATAGCAGAATTGTTATAGTAGATGGTTTTGAAAGGAAGAAAAAAAAAGCTTAAATTAACAATCAGTTATTGAAAACAATCAAGGATATCAATTTTGAAGCTCTTTTTTTTTGTTTTTCATTTTTCTATACCCTAGAACATTTGAATGAAAAGGAAGAAAACAAAAAGCGTGAAGAGCATCCCGGCAAAGAGATTGTTCACGGCTAAATAGAAATATAGAAATTTTTGATGGTTTTTTGATGGTTTTTGATGGTTTTGATGGTTTTGATGGTTTTTGATTGTTTTGTGATGGTCTTTGATGGTTTTTGATGTCTTTTGATTTGTTTTTTCTCCTCTAGATCCACTACTACTCACCGTAATACAATTTCATTTCATACAATTTCAACCGTATACAAAAAAATGTGTAATTTTGAGTGAAATCAATCGATAAATCTACACTACTTTTTGATGAGTGTTAGATTGGATTGGATTGGATTGGATTGGATTGGATCCTTACCCAAATAGATGTGTCTCCAATCTTGTGTGTACTCGACTTCACTTGGTGGGCCCAAATTTGATGAGCGTTGATCGCTGAAAATATCGTAGTTTTAAACTTTCAATGATCCCAGTACGGCTAAGAAACCCGAATTTCTAAAATCACTGTTAGAAAAGAGTTTGGCTAGAGTGTTACAGTATTTTTGATTGAAAAAAGAAAACTTTTGACTCGAGTAAGCCTTTCAAAAAGGTGACTCGGTTACCGTAGTTTAGTTAGTTGTTAACTACTGTTAACAACTGTTAACAAGTTAGTTGTTAACTACTGTTAACAACTGTTAACATGTTAGTTGTTAACTACTGTTAACAACTGTTAACATGTTAGTTGTTAACTACTGTTAACAACTGTTAACATGTTAGTTGTTAACTACTGTTAACAACTGTTAACAAGTTAGTTGTTAACTACTGTTAACTACTGTTAACAACTAACCAAACTAACCAAATAGTCCAAGTAAATTGAACTGTAATAAATAAGTTTTGGATTTTGATTTTGATTTTCTAGAACTATACAAACCTAAAAGCAATCGTTCAACCACGAAATTATCTTCTAAAAAAGCCGGAAAACTGCCCTTTTACTATACAAACCTCTCATCGATATGCCGTTGATAGGAGACACCGGGATCTGGCTCAATACAGCATACCAATCTGTAAAACAGTTTTGAAAATATTTTCAATCAACACTTTTTCACCTGTTCACCACTTTTGCAAAGAGATAAACGCGATGCGATGGAGGCACTGATCGTTTCACTCGACAAAGAGCCATCATTGAGATCGTGACAAGAATCGAGAGAAAAGAAACGGTGAAAAGGAGCTCGTAGAAGAAATCTGATCGAGATTTAAATGTAGATCGATAAAAATTGATAAAAATAACTTACAAATCTTCGGCTTCACCCCAGCAAACCCATTCGGTGGAGCGATCGAGCAAAGGAAGAGGAAACAAAGCGTTTGCAACGAAAGAGTCACCAATTTCACCCACGATTGTGTCTTGAGATCGCCAAAAAGCGGAGACACCTGAGCACAGAATAGCTACAAGTTAACCGCTTCAATTTCAATTCGTAATCCATCTTTTTTTTTGCTTACAGTAACGATTTTGTAAAGTAAAGTACAGTAAAATCCAAGAAAATGTGATTTTGCTGAAAAATAATTGACTTTTTAATGAAACAAAGTCGGCTAGCCGATTACGGATGAAATTTTTTCACTAGATGTGTACGTACGGAGTACAAATGTACAATACAAATATTATAAATGAAACAAACAATGAATTCAATTGATGCATTTGTTGGTTTTAAAGGAAAGTAAAAAAAGAAACGAAAAGTTACTGCTTAAGGACAGCTTAAGACAGCTTAAGTTACTGCTTTTTTTTGTTCTAGCATCATTTTACCAGCATAACAAGTGTTGCAATGGTGACGGGAAGACGTAAAGCGAACGCGATTGTGCTCATTTTCTTCTCAGCGTGTACACAAACGCGTAGCATCTAAGAATAAGTCTGAGAATTCAATTTTTCCCCAAAAACTTGCCTGCATCGAGGCAAATGGAGCAATTTTGATAACGTTGAATTTGCGTTCCTGAAATTTTTCAAGATTTTAAGAGAAGGTAAAAGAAAGGAGCTAAAGACGCTTAGAATATCGATATCGTACTTTTTCGAGGTTTTGGCTGAGAACCTGATCGACGACGATCGTTTTCTTCTGCAAAAGGACAATGACCAAGTGTTTTCCAAAGCAGCCCGGTTTGGAAAAGCTGCTTTTCCAAAGCTGCCCCGTAATCTTGCCTTTAATCTCCTTTAATCTCTATCAACTCCAATCCAGTACGAGTTGTTTAATTCCACAGTTTAAAGGAAATTGATATTTCATGATATGATATGATATGATATGATATGAATAAATGTCTTAGTTTTCCATCTCTCACATCAACAACCCAAGCCGAGTGATCTTCTTCCATTGCGTAGATCGAGTCCATGTAACGGCGATTAGCTGGTGGAGCCGCTCCGACAGCGTGCTTCATATCGTGTTGTTCTTTGGGCTAAATGAACACAATTTTTTTTTTGATCTGTTTTCGCACTCAGGTGTTTGCTATTTGCGCAAATCACAACCTGCTTCCACATTTCTCTATCCCTTGCTATTGTCATCCAGTGTTTCCTAGCTTGAATGAACACAATCTGTCATTCATATACTTGATTCTTAGATTTGATTCTTATTTGATTCTTATTTGATTCTTATACTTGATTCTTATTTGATTATTTCCATCGTTTCATCTAAACCACTCACCACAAGGTCAAACGTCAACGAAACTCCCGGATCATATCCGCTAAAAAAGATGCAACAATTGTTCTCCTCTTCGGGATATCTAAAAGCAAAGAATAGCAGAATAGCTTTTAAACGAAGTGCCCACTTTGCATAATCGATAGTACAGAAAGAATCGTATGCGAAATGAATTCGTGAATAGATTCGGCCATCAGAGAGAAGATCGACATCAAAGAGAGTGCTGATACAAGCCATCGGATCATCCGCACATCGTCTGTAACAATTATTGTTTTAGCTTTCTAACGTTTTTTGCTATAAATCTCTACCCAAAATCCTTGAGTTTCGGGCTCCAAATGTGATGCGAATCGTGAAGGGTAAAGTGATCCATGTGCCATTCTTTTGGGTCCCATGTTAGCCGCTGATCTAACCAATTCTAAAATCACTTTTTGTTATGTCGTAATTTTGTTTTTCTTTTTTTTCTTTGTTGATACAAAGAAATTATTCTCTTTTTTTGTATGTTTTGACTGTAAAAACAGTTGAAAGAGACTTCAAATTTGATAGAATTTTTGAAATTTCTTTCAATCACCCACCAAATAGATATCTCCTTCGATCCGAAATTGATAAGTTGATTGTGGCTTCTAAAAGTGTTTGTACTTGATAAGTTTACTCTCAAAAAGAATCGATAATCTAGTTCAACTTACCAAATGTATGCGTTGTATCTGGATATCTTCGATCTCAATCCGCAACACTTGCTCCGTCACCTCTTTATCGCCATCTGTTGGCGGCGGATTTATCAAAAGTGAGTTGTACTTCTTTGTTCTAAATTTTTAGCGTAGAAGGCTGCGTGTATTAGTTTGAATTCGTTTTGCAACGAACTTCTCGTAATCCATATCCAGTAGGTAATAGAAAAGACAATTTTCGAGATCTCCAACTTGTTTCATTTGTTCTTTCGGATCTAAACACCAAGTACAAGTTTTTAGTTTAAAGCTACCGAGACTGTCTGTGAAGTTCTTTTTCCATGTACAGCGATCATTCGGGATAAGCGAGATTCCGCTTTCGAATAATATTGAAATCAATAATATTCGAATCATTTAGCAGCTATCTTCTCGATATTTAGAAATAAAATTCTCGCTGGAGGGGCAAATTTTCTTGAGACAATTAGGGCGACAAAGCGCCGCATGCGAAAGGGTATTTTGCGAGTGTTGCTCGGGCAACACATCCAACCATTGATTCATTTGCCACACTGTTTTGTTGTTTCCGCTCAATTTTCGGTGTTTTGGTCTTGAGAAATGATTTTAAAAAGCTATATTACATCATATATTCAAGTTGAAAAACGATCCGTAACTAAACACTAATCATATAGCAGCGATATCATCACAATCTACATAGAAAAGAATTTCAGACAAATAAAAAACTTTACAAGCCTACATCCCTTAAAAGTTCTTTTCGGGCACTTGAGCGCCTCCTCGTTGGAAGAATTTCCAGAGCAGTGGTCCACCCCAGTGTCTACCGAATTGATTCTTCTCAACACGACCCTATAAAAGACTTTGTGTATAAATTGCATAATTGATTTTCTGCCCATAAAACTTCAAACCACCAAACCTGAAGTCCCATCCCAGAAACACGAGCGTAGTGATAGAAAGTGCCAAGAACTGAAGCCACAAGGAAGAATGAAACTCCAATCGTGAAATTTTCTAAAGCATAATAGAAAAAAACACAAATAACAACTAACTGATTCGTGAGAGGGCAAATCCGGATGCAGCGGCAGCATAATATTGATTATGAACGTCGTCCTAAAAACATTAGAATACGTTTTTAAACAAAAAATACTCGATCGCGCATAGCTGCAGCAAATGATAGCGTGAAGCCCCAAGTTCCGGCAATAAGCATTGGTACGGGAGCCAGCTTCATATACCTAAACCATGATGAGTCGTTATAAATTTAATAAAATGCCAAAAACCTTTCAATATACATTCGAGGTCGCAAATCTTTCGAGCCGCATGGTGGATAGGCTTTGATATCAAAAAGTGTCCAAGGAAGCACTAGGAACCGAGTTTATTGCGTACAATTTCTATTTCCTCACTGAAAATTCCGACATATTTTGCTGCGGCAAAAGCTTTTTCGTGTGGTGCAGCATTTAATGGTTTGTCGAAGAAACGCGGCCCCATGAAGTACCTAGATGATAAAAAATGAACAATAAAAAGCGCTATACCAACCAGTTATTTGGAATAATACTTCCCGATCCGAGTTTTGAAGCTGGCGTGAGCCAAAGTGTATCCATGTTTGGGCTCACAGCCAATCCTGGATGTTCTTTTGATAGATTCCAGCGTTCAGCAATAGCCTTGTATTGATGCGAGCCTTTCATCAACTAAAAGACATTTGCCTGAGTCAGTATGTCTATTTTACCTTTTCTTGGAATTCTCCCAATTCCTCAGGTGTATCGGCTTTCAAACCAAAATTTTTGTTCTTGGTTGCATCAAGACCAAAGCTTCCTTGCAAAGAAGTTCCATCGGGTACCTAAGTTGTTTAGGTGATATCATGTAACGAAAAAAGTGTTTCACCTTAGGATCCCAGTAATCAGGATCTTCTTCTCTGGTTTTTGCGCCAAAGTTGCGCCATTTTCCCCGGCGTACTACATCATCCTTTAAACCGTTTTCCTTCCACCAATCCGGCCGACCAAGACTAAAAGCAAAATTTGATTACCAGACTCAAATCACAGGTTTTTAAATGAAATTTAACCTACTATTCACGGCTGCTCCAGAGTCCTATCCATGGTGGCCTAAAAGGAAAATTTAGTCTTTCTAGTAGAGATTAATTGCTTACCTCTGCGTCTTATAGGTTGCTTCCATTCCTCCATGATCATGATCATCATCATGCCCCATACTAAAGATCCCATGGATTCATAGAACTCGCACATTAATGTAAGTAACAGATTTGGGCTTAAACCAAACTATGAAAGAAAAGTTTAAAAAAATCAAAGTTTATCAACAAATTAACAAGAAACAAGCCAAAAAAACAGGTCAAACGCAACAAAGCCAACATAGCACAAAACAAATCAAAAACCATGTGATGTCATAAATGAGATTGCTATGGTTTTGAGCTAATTGAGTATCAATAGGCAAAAGATGCATATGACTTTCATAAAGAGCACATGGTAAAGCGACAATTTAAGTTTAGATTCGACAAATTCCCAAAGTCAAAATAGAACTGAATCGGGTATAAAAAATTCGTTATTCTAGCATGGTCGGTTGTCTCTGGTTCGCTGCCTTGGAGCGTTCTTGATAATGTTATCGACTCGGATGATCTGTTCAGCCGCCTAAAAATTTGCAAATTGATTTTTACCTATCTTCCTTACCTCAGCTGCAGCAGAGACCATGCACATTTTAACGTTGAAGGACTCAATCACACCAAGAGCAACCACATCAGTGACCGTTCCATTTTCAACATCTAAATAATAGTCTATCCAAAGCCTAGTAAAAATTACTAACCAATGCCCATGTTATGGCGTCCATTGGCGTGTTCAGCACGAAGACGGGTAACAAGCTCAGCTGACTGAAATTTATCGATAGACAAACAATTTCTGATAAACAAACATCGAGGCCAGCATTGTCGCAGATGATCGTAGGAAGTTGAGCAAGGGCTCTAGCAAAAGCCTCGACCGCCAACGCTTCTTTTCCTGCCACCTAAATAACAAATGTAGAAAAATTTTTTTACTCTAACTGTTACCTTTTGTGCCTCAACGGTTACAGCCGTGCTCATCAAAATCTCACTTGCGCCAGCACCAGCCACCTAATGAAAAATAATTCTATATGCCTACTTAACATAGAACGTACTGTTTTTGCCTCCTTAACATGAGTAATCAACACGCACAAAGCATCATGAAGCGAGCGTTCTGCTTCATCAAGAATTTGTTGAGTCGCCCCACGTAAAACAACTGAGCAGGCTTCTCCTAAAAAAGAAACGTGTGTATAAATGGATTCACAAAATATACCCAATGGAACACCGCTAAAGCGCAAAAGCCGATCTTCGCCAATCATCACTTCTTCTATCAACTCGCAAGTTCCAAGCTTCACATTTTCGGGAGTATCGAACGTAGACACAATCTCACCACCTTAAAATTGCAAAATAAATAATTAAAAGATACTGGCAAACCAAGCACGAGAGCCAATCGTTCGATTCCTTCGAAATCTGCATGCTCAATTCCCATAACCTGAACATTTAAAGTTTGTAAGTGCAGTTTATTAACTTCACTAACCTTGGCATCAGCGAAAAGTTGCTCAGGATAGTTGTAAATCAGTTGCCTATTGATGAAGACATCACACTTGTGAGAAAGAATCTTGTCAACCTACAAAAACTTTTATTGGAAAAATAGAAAAAGCAACCTTCTCCTTCATCTTCAGCTTCTCAGCCACCTCCAATTCAGCAACTTTTGCGACAGACTCTACCCTGACACGAGTTCCAAAGACTTTCACCTAAAAAAAATTCATATTGGCGTTAGATAATTTTCAAAACTTTGTCTGTATCCATAGGCGTGTTGGCAATCAAAATTTTCGGATTCTCAACGCGACGTGGTTGAGAGTGCCCCGGCAGCTTTTCGAGCAAAAATCCTTCATCAAGATAAGACTCGTTCATCGAGCCACCCAACTTCTTGATGATTTGTATAGCCTCCAAATTCCCGGATCCCTAAAGGATTTTATGCATATGTGCAAACTAAATTAGCCAACGTTTAAACGCAAAACAGCATCAACGGCTAGCTTTGAGAATTGATCCTTGTGTTGGGATAGAATTTTGGACCCAAGAGTAGTGTTAGCAATCTTCACCAAATCTTCTCGAAGGTGCGATCTATAAGAGGCAATTGTACTGAAATTCACCAGAAAACAAACCCTGACTCGTTTGCACTCTTCACTAGTGCGCCTTGCGCAATCTTGAGAGCCCGGCGGTATCCGGAAATAATTGTTTGGGGATGAATGCGTTGAGAAACCAATTTCTCGGCTTCACGTAGCAGTTCAGCGGCCAACACGGTGACTGACGTTGTACCATCACCAACTTCGCTATCTTGAGTCATCGCCATGTCTAAATGTAGCAAAGATTAACAAAGACTTCCTCCGAACTTTACTAGTGCAAATAAATTAGTGCGAAACTCACCAACTAGCACCTTGGCTGCCGGATTATCAACTCCAATCGATTTCAAAATCGTCGCACCATCGTTAGTGACTTTGATTGTTTGATGATCAGGTCCGCCGGCGATGAGAATTTTGTCCTAAAGATAAAATATTGCTACGTTTATTGTAAAATGTAACACATTAGTTGTTCAAAAAAACTTACCATGCCTTTCGGTCCCAAAGTTGACTTGACCAAGTCGCCGAGAGCAATTCCTCCGACAAAAATGCTCAAGCGAGCATTTTCTCCACGTTCCTCTTGAGCTTGATCCTTCAAGACTTGAATCGGCAACATTTCCTTAAAGAAACGTCTGTAAATAACTTTTTAGAGAAGAAAAGATGAAAATGTAAAAGAGCGCAATTTTGAGTTTAATATACGAGTTGTCATTCGTACACACGTTGGCACAGAGAAATCGTGATTGGGACACGCGTGGAGGGGATTTTTCAAGCAATACAACTTTCTCGAAACAATGCCCGCTGCTCAAAAATGCATGGCTTGATTGAAAATTTTAGATGTTGTTTGATAGACTGAATATCTTTACATTGCTTATAACCAAACGTTGAATATCTTAGAATGCCTCAATTTCAATATAAAAAAGTCTAGTTTCAAAAATCAGCCTTTTTTGGTGCATTTTTACTTTTCGCATTTGGGAATCTTTCGATTTTGATCAAACGCAATAAAATGCTTGGTTTTGGTAGTTTTCTATGCTTCTTAACGTTTACTCACTAGCTTTTAAACAATTAGGCTCTACTTTCAGTTAAATTGGTAAAAAATCCTCGTTACCTGATTAATTTTTGAGCATTTTCAGGCCGACCGGCAATGGCTAGCTTCCTCGATTTTCTGAATTCGAATAAACACAAAACGTTTCGACCGAAGAAGAAATTCACCCCGGGAACGATGCGCCACAATCTGCACAAACAAGCTATCGCCACTCTGCATTCTGGAGTCGATCTTCGGGCCGCCGTTAGAATGCCAGCCAACGAAAATTTGGACGATTGGATTGCTGTTCACACGGTCGACTTTTTCAATCGTATCAATTTGATGTATGGAACAATCGCGGACGCTTGTACGACCTCGTCTTGTCCAACAATGTCTGGAGGAATGAAATACGAATATTTGTGGCAAGATGGTCAGGGATACAAAAAGCCTACTCGCCTCCCGGCTCCGCAATATATGAGTCTGCTGATGGATTGGATTGAGACGAGGATAAATGATGAGCACATTTTCCCTTCATCCATGGATGTGCCATTTCCACAAGATTTCCGGCAAATATGCAAGAAGATTTTGACTCGCCTCTTCAGGGTCTTTGTTCATGTTTATATTCACCACTTCGATCGGGTCAGCGAAATCGGCGCCGAGGCCCATGCGAATACACTCTACAAGCATTTTTACTTTTTTGTCACGGAATACAATTTGGTGTCGAACAAAGAACTTGATGCTTTGCGGGATATGACTGAGAAATTGATTCAAGGTGGAGGTCGAAATCGTTTTCGTTGAAGAGTTCATCGTTTAAATGTTCAAAAACTCGCATAATGCTTCACTTGGCTGTATTCTTTGTATATTTTTGTCGGCTTCGTTACAAATGTTGATTTTCTGTGTTTTGGTATACTTCGCAGTTCTTGCTTTACTTATTGATAATTAAATAAAATTTAAAATTTTTTAGGTTGGCGCGATGCTTTCCACCGGCCATCGGTGCATTATTATGTGGCTACACACGTTGTTCATTCTACTGGTGCTGGTGATTTATTTGGATAAAGACAAGGATAGCAAAGTGGGTGTTTAAGTAATTTTTGAGAGTTTTTCTATTTCAGGATCCGATACTTCTTTTCGGGTATCTTGCTTTGAGCGACGTTATCACTGTACTTGGCATTTTAGCGAATTTGGTTCATAAGGTGAGTTTTAAGCAGTAAAAGTTAGATATGTAAACTTTAGAGTTTACAACGAATGAGCGAACTTGCTGAGGCTAGAATTCATTGGATTAACGCTGTTTGTGTCTACAAGGAAAATTTTGTTTACTTGCTGATTGTGGTCTTGAAGGTGAGTCCTCTAATTATTTTTTACTTAAAAATTCGCATTATAGCAAGAGTACAAAGAAAAAAAAGACTTTAAAACCAAACTTAGATGTTATTCGAATTGTTTCTATACTGGAAACTGCATTACTCCGATGATGGACCTTCATTTATAACGATCATGGCACCCCTTTGGGCAGCTCTATTGATCATTCTTTATGATCTAACAAGAAGGCTCTATAGAATCCAAACTGCTAATCAAATTAAAACAACTTTAAATCGTAGTGGCGAAACGTCCACTACAATGCCACTTGCCAATTCCTCACTGGGAAACGAAAATCCATCGATATTTCTTTGATCTTGAAACCTACGGGTCAATTTACTTAACGTGTCGAAATAATACGAGTATGTAAATAGTGTATGTAATCAGTTCAAATGATCAGATGAAATAAAGATTCTAATTACCGCTAAAGCACATTTACTTCCTGAAAATTACACAAGTAGTAAAACAGAACCAAACAGTGAAATCGACGATACAAGTATTTTAGGCACATCACAAAAACAAAACCCATTCGTACCCGAGAGAAGTTATAGAACTTCATTAATTTATTGGAAGCTCGAAGGTTGGGTATTGACTATCTGCTCTGAACATTGCATGAGGAGCAAATTGTCGATAATTTAAACCATCCTTCATTTTATCACAAGCAATGCGTTGAAGACTTTTACGCGCGAGGGTTCAAAACGAAGTCCTGAGTGTTCAAAAACGAGTCTCCATACATAGGGTACAAAGAAGTCGATGGTATTCTCATCTTCGACGTATCTGAATTTGTAGCCTTTTCAGGTTAGGTGCGTAACTTACCTGAATTTAAGATCAGGAAACTTTTGCAAACGATCGGTCCTCCAGATCAACACTTCATCATCTATCGCATTCATAATAGAACTAGTTCCTGAAAGCGACATAATGTGTTTTTAAAGGGACACTACCATCAGAAATTCCTTCAATCTTGGTCGAAAAATGCTCGATTACCGACCATATATTTTTTAGCAAATCCTGAAAGGGGATGTAAATATTTCTTCAAAAAAAAGTCATTTTTTCATTTTACCTACCTGAAACATTGGATGGTCTTTCAGATTATCGAAGAGTTTTCGGTGATAAAGTAGGGTGTAAATGAGATTTGCATTGTATCGAAGTCGTGATGTCAAGACCGTGTTGATGATTTCAAGGAGTGTTCGGATTCCCTCCTCCAATACGGTAATATCATCGCTCTAAAATCAAAAATTCTCCAGTGTTTTTGTTTTAACTTGCATAGTTGTTCTGTCCTTCATCAGTTTGCGTCTCAAGTGATTCTCGGAGAAGTTCAACCAGTTTCGCATGGCGTTTTGTGAGTAGCTAAAACGGTCTTTCCAAATGTAAATCTTGAAGTTACCTCAAGCAATCCGACCATTTTCTGGCATACGACTGGGTTCAAATTCTTAAAAGCTGAAGCCAAATTTGCCAATGCGGCGAGGGAATTTGTATGTAGATAACGATCCTGTAGATGGTTTGGCTTGTAAAGTTTTTTCGATTTACCTTTGTTCGGATCGCATTCTTTTGCAATGTGCGAATGAAAACCAAAATTGTAAGTCCACCTAAGGAAATGTCTCCGATCGGACGATCAGAATCAATCCAATCTCCTTTCACCATCTGTAAAGACAGTTGGTTTCGGGTTGGTTTGGTTCGGAACTACCGTTTCATGAATTATTTTGCAGAAGAAGTCGTCTTCCGATAGAATCAAAACTGCGATTAACGCCAGATACATATGGTGAGCATTAGCAGATTGTGAGTTGGCTCCGTTGTGAAGTATTTTGAGAACTGGTAGTACCTAGGTTGCATTTAATTTTTTTTGAATAGGGCTTTTGTTTACCAATTTTTCTAGATTGATCCTGCTCAAAACATAATTCCGAAATCCAATATTTCGGTGCAAAAGCATATATAAGAGCAGCATAGGTGGTTCCTGAAGTCATTGCTCTTAATTTTCAATTTGCGAAAAAGAACCTGCTCAACGGTTGAGCACAATCTTTCGTATAAGGCATTGTAATCAAGTTTAAAAGTGATTATTGGTGTAGGCATCGTTGAGATTTCTGCGAATATTAAGACTGATAGGATTGTTATGGTAACACGAACCTTGAGAATTTTGAAACTGTGCTAAAGTTTCTTTGAAAGGATTCTTTTCTTGAGAGTTATGACATGCCAATGCAAGCGCCAGCAATAAGGAAAGACTTCCAAGAGATAAAGCTGGTTGTTGTGTTTCCTGCAAGTTGTTTGTTGCTTTTTTCAAACTTTTCTTACCTCAGAATCGTCGAGTCCAGCAGCAAGTGTCACCATGTTCCACAAAGAACCTAGACGCTTATTCTTGGAGTTAGGGCGCTTAATTTACCTGCTAACCCAAGGACAATGCTTTCTGGCTTCTTTATTTGGTTTGGACCCAGATATTCTTCATTGTGAACCAAATAATTCGTTAGCAACACCTTGATGAAAATTGTAGAAGTTTCTTCGCTGAAAATTCGTTGATAAACATTGTTCATTTTAGGATTGCCTGACGTTTTTTCTAATAAGAAGTAGTTGAAGACTTGAGATTTTTGTAAAAGTTCATCTTTGTACAACTGCGAGCTGAGGATCGCCAAACAAGTTCTCACGGCTTCAATTTGAATGGGCACTGTTAGATCACTAAAATTGTTTTTATGATGTTTTGAGATTTTTCCAACTTAGTCGGCATCCGAATAATCAAATCAACTAGGTGATGGATCAATTTTTGTAACAGACAGTACGAATCTGAAATTTTTCATAGTTTAAACATTTTCCTGTAGCTATTCTCACCAGTTTCAACAACACTTGGCTCTATAGAGTACTGATAAACTTTAATCAGTTCATCTTCGGGAAGGCGTTGGCAAGAATATTTGATCACATAGTGTAGAATTGTGAGAGCATTTACAACTTGAAAAGTCAATTTCTTTCTGAAAAATGGAATCATTAGTAAAGTCCTAAGCCAATAAATCCCACTTTTCTTCTACGAGTGAGCTGAGAAGCTCGTCGACCATTTCAAAAAATTTGTGCAAAAATCCGGAGAGATTGCGGGAGACTTGAGAGTTATCAATTAGGGATTCCACAAAGTTTTGTGCAATTCTATCAACTTGTTTGATGATTTCTGAATCCCGTTCATCAATTTCCAGATGGAATGTGAACAGATCATTCCAAAAAGTGTCATCGGTTATTTCTTTGGCTCCGCAAAATTTCTTGAGTGCTTCATTGTCCTCTAACTTTGTTGTGCTGCTTACAACTCCTCCCATAAATCTGAAAGTTTTCCTAGTTAAAGAAAACGAAAAAAAACAACGAAAAAATTATGACACAAACTTGAGCTAATATTCTCAAACAAGATAAAAGATTGTGATAAGGAACAAGCTCTTATGAAATGTTTTTCAATGCGTGAGATATCTAGAGCACACACGTTGGCGGCCCATTTTCAAACGTAGTTTGTACTTTATGGAACTTTGATTTGATTTGCTCGCTCTTTGTGCTGGTAGAGAATGTGTTAAAGAGTCGAAAGGAAAGGCATCACACAACTTTAATAACTTCTATTTGTGAACAAATCAAGAAAATTTTGCGATTAATGCTAATTAATGGTTATTTTCTGTATTAAGGCATGTCTTCAGCAAGTACCAACAAGAAAGAGGAATATTGGACACGAAACAAGGTAGTTCAAGGCCATTTTCTCTGGATAATACTCCTTTTTAGATATTGCTCATAGCTTTCGTAGTGCGAGTGTGCCTCATTTTGTACGCTCTTGTTCATGATTATGTTTTTGAGGTTGGTGATGGAATACATATTTTTCTATTCTTATTGACTTTAGGTCTCTTTCACGGATATCGACTATGTTGTTTTCTCGGATGCCGCAAGACATGTTGCTAATGGTGGTTCCCCATACGATAGAGCCACTTACAGGTTATCTTACAAAGTTTATTTACATGAAAAATTTAGATATACACCTTTTCTTGCTATGATTTTGGTGGGCAATCAAATATGGAAAGATTTCGGTAAAATTTTTCTTTTAAAGATGCATCGGGACTTTAGGAAAGTTGCTCTTTTGCACCTGTGATATCATTGTTGCATGGCTGTGCCTGGAAATCAATGAAATACTGGCCAAAAAGAGGTACATCAAAACCAAAAGCTATAGCTGCTATTATTTTTAGTGGAAAAGAGCAAAACCTTCTTCCGGTTGTACTCTTTTGGTTGGCGAACCCGCTCACTGCTGTAATTTCGGCGCGAGGTAGCTCAGATTCGATCGTTTGCCTTGCCGTTTTGCTGGTCTTACTTTTGTTATTGAAGGAAAAGGTCATTAGAAACAAAATTTACTTAATTAAACAATTAATTTTAGATTTGGTTGGCGGCGTTAGCAAATGGTCTCCTGGCAATTCATTTGAAGATCTATCCAGTCATATATTTACCGTCAATTTATTTTTGGATCTTAACAAATGGTAAACGATAATTTGTTGATAATAACTTTTTTTAATTTAGGTGGACGTAGTACTCTGAGTTCAGTTATTGACATGACCGGATTGTTTTCTTTCGTTAAATCATGGATCTCACGCAAAGGATTGATCTTTGTTTTTGTAAGCAAATAATGTTAGCTTTTTTTAAAAAGAACTCATTCAGGTTAGTCTTTCATCATTTGCGCTTGTCGTTGCGCTTTTTTGGAATATTTACGGCGATCAGTTCTTGGAAGAATTTCTGCTGTATCATGTGAAAAGACGGGATATTCGCCATAACTTTTCTCCGTATTTCTACTTGCTTTATCTGGTAATTGTTTTCTTCAAAACTTCAAACCACTGCGATTCAGGTGGATGGTTATCAAATAGGATCAAAAATATGCGGCTTTGTAGCGTTTTTGCCACAAATAATTTCGATGTTTGTCTTTGCTTTTAGGTTTGTTTTAATTTGAAATTGAATCAAATCATGAATTTAGCTATTATGACGATTTGCCGTTTTGCTGGTTCATGACAACCTTTGCATTTGTGTCATTTAATAAGGTAAGGGATTTTTTTAACTTCGATTTGTCTAGTTTTTATGGTTTATTTAGGTTTCGACTAGTCAATATTTTATTTGGTACATCGTCTTTCTTCCATTGATAGCAAATCGAATACAAGTGCGTGCTTTTCAATTTTACTTTTTTAAAATTCGATTTAGATCAGTAGTAAACGAGCCGCTGTTTTGATATCAATATGGTTTATATCTCAAGGAATATGGCTGTTTTTTGCTTATCTCTTCGAGTTTCGGGTAAGTTGGCGAAAAAATGTTCTTAAATAAGTATCCAATTTAGGGTTATAACACACTTGCCTTCATTTGGATCTCAAGCTTATTGTTTCTTCTCACAAATTGTATCATTATGCGCCAGATCTCCTCGTATTACAACCCTGATCAAGCAGCGAATCACTTAAAGGCTAATTAAGTTCAGTTTAATTATGTGTACTCAATAAATATTTTATTATGTGTGCTTTGTTTATTCGTTGGGTTTTGAGGCCAAATTTTTTTGCTTTTAAGTGTCTCAATTTGCATCTTTTTTATGGCGAGTTTTTTTTAGATGCTTCAGCGAGTTTTCACTCGCAATTTCTTCCCTGTTGGCCTTCGTTCCGTCTCCTCAAATCCTCGTATCGATGTTGAAGGTGAATTGTTGTAAAACTATTACACATTCCATGACAAGGAATTAAAAAAGCTTTAAACATCATCAGAGTTTAATGCTTACTTTTAAGGCCGCTTCCCTCCACCGGTAACCCAGTTGAATGAGCATGAATTGATGTTCCAAGATAATGGTGAGCCTTGACATTTCTTTTCATTAATGCATTTTTATAGTTCGTCGTTTTGCCAACAATGTGATCAAACCGATAGTTCGTGAAATGGACGATAAAGCCCAGATGCATCAAAGCGTTATTACAGGTGAACTAATGTAGAAAAGTGTGGTAATGTTTTTAGTTTAGGCTCATTCGAAAATGGCTTCATGGGTGTCGAGGTTCCAGAGAAGTATGGCGGGCCGGGATCCTCTTTTTTTGATACGGTCATCGTTGTGGAGGAGTTAGCAAGAGTACAGAGAAACTTTATTGACGGGTATCGCATGAACAATTTTAGATTGACCCGTCGGTTTCCGTTTTTGTTGATGTGCAAAATACTCTCGTTGGCCCTCTTGTGATGACTCTTGGTTCGGAAGAGCAAAAACAAAAATATCTTCCAAGAATTTGCACGGATTGGGTTAGATTACAATAAATTACTAATAATTATCGGTTTTAGATTGGTTCTTTCTGCCTCTCAGAAGCTAGCAGTGGATCTGATGCATTCGGGTTGAAGACTGTTGCGAAACAGTATGAGTTAGCAAGTTATTACGGAAAATATTAATTCAGAGACTGTGATGATTTTGTAATTAACGGCAACAAACTTTGGATCACAAATGCGGGACATGCAAGCTTTTTTTTGGTTTTTGCCAATGCAGACACTTCCAAAGGGTATAAGGTCTGGTTCCTATTTGGTTCGAATAATTTTATTTTTTAAGGGGATCACTTGCTTCCTTGTTGATCGTGATGCGCCCGGTGTCAGCGTTGGAAAAAAGGTTTTGCTTCACGTTTCACAATAGCTGATACAATTGTTTAGGAAGACAAACTGGGAATTCGAGCTTCTTCTACATGCCCAGTTCACTTTGACAATGTCAGGGTGCACAAAAGTGCAATCCTCGGTGATTATGGAAAAGGTAAAAGATTTTTATTTTTGGTCCAAAAATTTTAAACATTTTAAGGTTACAAATACGCCATTGAATGCCTGAACGCTGGTCGAATTGGTATGTGGATTTAAAATATTTTTTGTTTTTCATGTTTCTAAACATAAAAGTTTAGGTATTGGTGCTCAAATGCTTGGTCTTGCCCAGGTAATTTGAACTTTTAGAGAAGTTTGCAATAAATTATAGGGTTGCTATGATGTTACGATCCCATATCTTCAAGAAAGAAAGCAGTTTGGTAGCCGGCTCATCGATTTCCAGGTTAGTTTTTGATTGCTTACTGATGTCAGAGCGTAATTTTTGTTGGCTGGAGGCATCTTAAATCAATTTCCAGGGAATGCAACATCAAGTGGCCCAAATCGCCGTCGAAATTGAGGCTGCGCGTCTCCTAGTTTACAATGCCGCTCGTATGAAAGAAAATGGTATCAACTTCGTGAAACAGGTACTTTTACGAAAACTATTTTATTGGGTTAAAACTGTTGTATTTTAGGCGGCTATGGCTAAACTCTATGCTTCTCAAGTGGCAACTACATGCACATCAAAGTGTGTCGAATGGTTGGGAGGTGTTGGATTTACAAAAGAATTCCCGGCTGAGAAGTTCTACAGGTTAATTTAAAACGGTCTTGCATTAGCCATACATTTTTAGAGACTCCAAGATTGGCACGATTTATGAGGGTACTTCTAACATTCAGCTCAATACAATCGCCAAGCATGTCGACTCGGAGTATGCGAATCGTGGAAAATAATTTCAGTTGTGTATAAAATTGCTTAGATTGTCATGTTTTCGTATACTTTTGCTCATTAGTGATACGTTTACTTGCATTTTAGGAATGTGATTACTTTTCTTTGAATAATTACGGTTTTTGATTGATGGTGTCTTTTTGAATAAAGTTTATGGTATACGTGCTCTAGTTAAAAATTTTAAGTCAACTTTCAGTAATTACTTAACAACTATTGGCACAGGAGCTTTTTTTGCCTGTACACAACATTTAGATGGTATTTTATTTGATTGGGCTCGGGTTAGGTGATGTTGAGGACATCACGGTAAAAGGTGAGTTTACTTAACAATTTTTCAATTATGTTTTCAAAGGCTTAAACGTTGTTCGAAAATGTAAACGAGTCTACTTGGAGGCTTATACATCAATTCTCTGCTATGGCCTGGAAAAGAAGCAACTCGAGGAGTATTATGGGCGAGATGTCATCGAGGCTGATAGAACAACGGTAGAACAAAATTCAGGTTTTTTTTTGCTCTTTTATTATGCAAATTTTAGTTTTAGACGAGATTTTGACAGACGCGGATACAGAAGATGTAGCAATGCTTGTCGTTGGAGATCCCTTTGGAGCCACTACTCATGCCGATCTCGTCTTGAGAGCAAAGGTTAAATTTGTTTTTTTTTCTTTTTAATGAGTAGTTGTTTCAGGAAAAGGGAATTGTCGTTAAAGTCGTTCACAATGCATCAATAATGAATGCAGTTGGATGCTGTGGGCTACAGGTAAACAATTTTTAAAAACTCAGTACGCTAATTGATTTTTAGCATTTTTTTATTCCAGGCTTAAAATTTTTAACCTTTAATGTTCTATATAGATTTATTGGTTATTGCTTTTCAGTTGTACAACTTTGGAGAAACCGTATCTATCGTCATGTGGTTGGACAATTGGGAACCGGATAGTTACTATGACAAGTTTGTTATTTAATGTAATAAAAACGCAATTTCTCAGAATTGCGATTAATCTTTCCAAAGGCTTACACACTTTATGTCTACTTGACATTAAAACAAAGGAACAAAGCGTCGAGAATATGATGAGGTAAATATTTTGCATTTTACTCAAAGCATACATTGGTTTTAGAGGAAGAAAGGTTTACGAGCCTGCCCGATATCTGACTTGTTCCGAAGCATGCAAGCAGTTAATAACGGTAGTGTAAAAGGCATAATCTTAACTGATTTTCATTTTCAGATAAGTAAACGAAAAAGGGAGGAGGGGACGGAACCCATTTATACGGAAAATACACGTGTTGTAGGGTTAGCTCGAGTCGGATGGGACGATCAAAAAGTGGGTTTGAATTGGAAATTTAGCAGTTTTATTGGAATCACGCTCATGCCTTTTTTTTTTGCACATTATCCATTACCCAATTTTAGATAGTTTCTTGTTCAATGTTGGAAATGTGCTCAGTCGATATGGGTCCACCACTTCATTCACTTATTATCCCCGGGAATACACATCCGCTAGAAGACGATATGCTTGCCACTTTCGCCTTGAAAACTTTGTGATTTTGTATTTTTGTTGATTGTTGATATTGTTTGATCATTTGTTTGTTGTTATTTTTGTTGTCGTTTTAATAAAGACAAAATTTCTATAATTTTCAATTCAATTTCAATTGTTTTTCCTTTCAAGCTATACCTTCTGTTGTGTCTAGTATGCTTTGTGCAGCACAAGAAAAATGGGAGAAGGGGAGATATTTATCAATCCGGGCGATCGGCTGATGCAACTTATCAAATCGGTGAAAAGCCATTTGGTTTATTGAACTCTTTTAACCGAAAGCGCTATAAATGGGCCAGAGTTGTTGAAATTTTGTCTGTCAACATGCTTTGATCTTGATTTCGTTTAGTTATCTAAACCAAAAAGCCCTTAGAAGATTCTGTTTTGCATTCAATTTTCGTAATTTGCATCTATTTTCAACCCGGTTCGCAATAATTGCTAGAAATTGTCAGTTTTTTGAAAGCTAAATACTATTTAACGTGCCCTATAAACGATCGATTTAGCGCGCGAAAACGGGAGCTTTTTTGAGACCGTTGAACAACAGCTCACATATTAAGGTCTATCTCGTCCCCATTTATGAGATTTCTCTCTTCTTCGCCACTCAACTCTTATCTTCTCGCCGTTCGCTTCTATTCGAATACCGGCAAGCCTTTCTTTTTATTTATCTTTCTTTATTTCTTTTTATTTATTTCTTTTTATTTTATTTATTTTAAAGCTTGAAAGAAAATTCACAATTATTTAGCTAAAATGTCACTGGAAACGGCCTACTTTGGGATGCAATGCTTCTGGGGAGTCGAGTCTTCGTTCGCCAAGATTCGGGTAGATTGATTTACGGAATTTTGATAAAACGTAACTGGCAAATTCGAAAAAAAAATGATTTAATAAAAAATTTTGATTAATACGTAAACTTTTGACATCTTGCACACCATTTGTAAGGTTTTCATTTGATAAGTCCAATTAAAAGCTTGTATCCATGCCAGGTTGGCAAAAAAAAAAAACAAGAAATAGTGGAATAAGTTCAGTTTAAAAATAACTACCTACATCTGTGTTTTGCGTATACATGATCCATTCTTTACAGGGAGTGAAAAAGACGAGAGTCGGATATGCTGGTGGAACGACACCGAATCCAAACTATCGAGATATTGGAGATCATACAGGCTCGTAATATTTTAATGATTTTAATACAATTTAATTTATTCTTGTACTTTTTGCCTAAAAATATTGTCTACTCAATCAAATCAAGACTAATAGTAAAAGGCTTTGGTTGATAGCAAGTCACAAATTTAGCTTTTACGTTTAGAGTTACATAACATAACATTTAGAGTTACATTCAAGTGCTACAGTACCCTACACTTTACAGTACCCCTGTCATTTTAGAAATCACCGAGGTGCGATTCGATCCGGCCGAGGTCGACTACCGCACCGTTTTGGCGTGGTTTTGGAAGAGACACGATTCGACTGAAAAGTTCTAAGAGACAAGAAAACTATTTCAATCCAACTATTCTAGGCACAAGAAGCAATATCAGAGCGCCATTCTCTACACGAGCGATGAGCAAAAAGCGGCTGCTGAGGAAACGGCTAAAGAAGTCGAGGTTTGTCGAAGAGAAATTAAAGTAGTATTCTAGTATTCTAGGCTAAAAAGGGTCGCCCGCTTGACACGTACATCCAGAAATTCGATAAATTCTACCAGGCCGAGGACTATCATCAGAAATATTGGCTACGAGGACGGGGACAGTATATTCATGATGTAAGTGAAGGGAGAGGTGCTCAATTAACTCAGACACTACATAGTTTCTTGAAGGTTTGCTCTAGTTAGAGCATTTAAATCATTTTTTCTAATCTATAGTTAGCTATATTGCCAAATACGTCACCGTTGAATTGGTGCCTTATGATGTACTGTTACTGTTAATACTTATGATGTAACGGTACATCATCATTACTAACAGTACTAACAATCAGCTCACTCAATTTACAGCTCGGTTTGGATAACGCGAACTTGGCCGACTCGTATCTAGCGACGAAGTTGAACGCCTATTTGGCTGGATACACCGATTTCACGTGAGTATTTTAAGTAAAAATTCATCGACTAGCGATTTTTTGATAGAGCTAGCAGATTGTCGATCCGAGCCCTGGTCCTCAAGGCAATAAACCATGACTGGTCAAGCCAAGGCTAGAATCAAGGATCAGACCAACCTCTATCAAAACCAAATATCAAATTTTTTTCAGTGAACTTGATCAATTGGCCGCTGAGCACAAGATTCCCGAGGATCTCATCACGGACATCAAAGAGATCGCCAACAATGGAGGTGATCCAAGAAATTGTCACCATTGAGATTGCTTTGCGATATTCTAGCCTTATTTCATCTGGTGCCAATAAAGATATTGATAGAAGACTTTATTCGGAATACCTCGTAATTTATGGCCTATAAATATCAAAATCATTCAACTTTGGAGACCTTTTGTGAGAATTTGTTTGATGAAACATTGACTCAATGATAGAAATGTTGTGGTCGGTTGAGGAAACGACGGACACCGTTGCATCTGGAAAAAGTTGAGATACGAATTTCAAATTTTTCCGTAACTGCTTTGATGCGCTTGGCTTTTCCGTCTATGGGGTATAACCGTATAGTAAGAGATTGAGAACCCGATTGGGTATCATTTCTAGAATCCTTTTCATTTCCACCTACTTTGCTTTGACGGTCGGTTTCGGGAACTGTTTCCAACATTCCACCACCGCTTTGTCACAGTCACAAAGAGCCGCTTTGCATTTATCGTCGGTGACTAAAGAAAGACAATGGTATTTAGAATACATTTTTCTCAATTGCACTTAATTTATCGCACCTGCACAAAGAGCCGTTCCATTGTCACACTTCCAACTGTAATCATCCACATATTCCCACGCAACATCGAAGCAGAGCTAAATTTTCGCGGGATTTTCATGAAATTTTTTTGTAAAACGCAAACCTTTTGATCAACAGCTGCATCGTAACATTTATCGTGAAACATGCAGCATCTGAAACATTTCCACATTCCATATTCTCTCTAATAGTTGTGCGCACTACTATTTTTTCAACCCCCCTCCTGGACCGCAATATTATTAGAGAGTGCACTACTACTAAAGAGTCTTATCATTTACCAAAGTAAGACAGATATAAGATTTGTTCCAAAAATTCTTGCAAAAAAAGCAACTTTCTAAAAATTTATTGGCTTTTGATAATAAAAAGTTAACTAGACAAAAAAACTACAACAGAATCATCGTTCGAATCATCATCCTTATCCAGTTCAATATATTTGAGTTGGTCCTTTTGATCGATTGTTCGAGACGAGCATTGGCGAGAAGTGTTGCGCCTTCAGGAATAGGTCCTTCTTTTTTGAAGCAATGAATGATACCATCTTCAGGGCCATCAGTAGCTGTGGTAGTTGCACAACTCTTGAACAAGCTTATGATGAGGTTTTTGGGAGCTCTTTCCAAGCATTCCAAACACATTCAAGGTAATTTTTCATCGCTGGATCTCCATTTCGGCTCAAGGGTTTTGGTCAATTTATCATCTATCCCTCGTATTGTGCTCGAATCCCAGCCTTAAATGGTGCATTTCACATGACATCGGGAGCTTGTATGTACTTGGTGTATCCTCCGGGCACAATAATGGAAACAATTTGCAAATCCTTTAAAGTTTTTTGGTTGCTCCGCTTTTATGGGCAGAAAAGTTGTCCCAGACGATTAATCGTTTTCCGAATAGTAGAGCACCAAGAACCCTTCGAAGGTAGGACCCAATTGAAGTATCATTCATCCATGTAGACCCATCCCAGTGTAGCTGTAGCTTGTTGTGGAACTTTGTAATTACTTTAGGATCCGGTCTAACTCGATTCAGCAACACAAAGGCCCTACACTTGAAGCCATCATCACGGGCTGCTAACATCACGGTGATTCGCATCTTATCGTGACCTGTTGAAAGAATCGCCACCTCTTTGGATCGGGATTGAATTTTTGAATCCATAAAACGATTTCCCATCGAGATCCATACCTAAAGAAAAAGATTATTTAGACAATAGTAAAAGTGACCAACAAAAATTATACAATATTAAAATCGAACATGATGGACTATTTTCTAAGATTGAACTTTGATAACAATAAAGTTTAGCGCCGCAAAAGTCAAGACAATTCACAAACTTTATACAGGTATATAAGAGCAAAAATGACTATAGCTTTGCGCAAACTTCGTAAGCAAATTTGAGTTAATGTGCCACTAAAACAACGTGTAGAAACAACAAAAAGATGTTTTTGCAAAAAAGACTTTGCACAACAATCTTTTTTTACTAACTTTTTCAAGTGAAGAATAGTTAACAAATGAATAGAAAAAGTCTCACTTTTGCTTGCTTGAATACCTTTAGAATGTCACATAAACATAAAGATATTCAGCCAAAAAGGTTTAGATCAAAAAGACACTATAAAAGCACTATAAATGCAAATTTTCAAGGGTGCATTACTTTCAACCCCCTCCCGGACCGTAATACTATTAGAGTGCACTACTATTAGAGAGAATACGGTAGATATATTTTTTTTGGATTTGGTACTAGTCTGGCTTACAAGCCTTTCGTTTGACTTTTATTTTTGCTTCTTTTTCTTTTAGCTTTGAATGTTCTCTATTCTCTACAATCGTACAGCATTTGGCACACCGTTGCTCTGGACATACACCCTGACCAACTTCGCCAAAAAACTCAAACCATTCAAAGCTGAAAGGAGCAATGACAAAAACCAAAGCTGGGCTCGAACCCTAGGGCTCCTGCCTCTTATTCAAGCCCACTGACACTCGGCCACCGCGACATTGTTTTCGGCCTTTTAATTCAACTTATAAGCTCAAGTTCTGTTTTCTGCGGCAAAACTTTGAGCGCTTATAACTTTTGATAGAGTGCTGCGTTGCAAAAACAGAAAGCAGATCCGGAATCAGCGCAAAATTCGACATCGATTAGTATATGGCTCGTTTCATTTGGCCACTCAATTGACATTCCCTCGCGAAGAATACTCTCTAATAATTACTAGGGTGTGTTCCTTTCAAGAAATATCTCAAAATAGGAAACGGATGTATTTGAAATAAACTGAATATCTTTTAAATTGTAGAAGATATTCAAGGTATTCAGTTGATTTCTACCGTAACTTGTTTCTTATTTTATGCTATTTGTTGAGAGGAACACACTCTAATAATTACTGCACTCCCCGTTTTCAACACGAACTTGTCAATGCCATCGACCGGCTCGTGTGCTCCACCAATCCCGCACCAACAACCATAATTGTTGTAGACGAGGGCGTTATAGTGAAGCTCACATTCGGTGACCTTTATAGGAATTTTTTGAATGAAAAGAAAATTGCCAGATACCTCTTCCAAATTCCACAAAGCGCCTACAGATGGTGGTGGGGAAGCGAGAGAGAAATTTGGAGAGAAAAGGAAAAGAATCGATGAGATGAAAGAAATACAGACAATCCGTCGCTCAATCATTGTTTTCTAGAACTAAATTGAGTCGTTTGAGGGGAAACAAAATCGATTTAAAGTGTGAAAAAAGGGAAAATAAAGGAAAGTTCTTCATGTGGCAAAGCAGTAAAAGTAAAAGAATTATGAGAAAAGGCTTCATTTAGGCTTTTGACTTCTATAAAGTCATTAAATTGATTATCAGATTGTTAAATAAGAAGATAAGAAGATAAGTAGTTCAGAGTGATTAGATAAAGATAGTTATTGGTTTTAGTTTTTAGTTTTACTGCTTATCTCTTCTTTTAACTTTTTCCAAAACCACAACTTCAATTGAAATGAAATTAGATTGAAATTAGATTAAATGATCAAAGAAATCGGTGAAATCGGTGAAATTTCTAAAAGTTAAGAAACCAATGCGTAGAACAAATGTGATTGGGAAAGAAAGTGGCTGACTGATGGGACAGACTCATTAAGGGGGAGGGGAGGGGACGATCCCAAGGGAAGGAAGGAGGAACACGTGACTCAGCCCTCCCTCAGTTCCCTTCTCAAAAGATTAACTGCTCCGCTTTGACCTTTCCGTTCAAATGATGCTATGCTATCAATGCTGACCATTCCAAGACACAAAAAAACTTGAATGCCATCAAATGAAACCAGCTTGAGAAAAGAAATGGGTAATTAAACTGAGACAGAGATGGCTTTTGAAGGTTTTGGGATGATTTTTGAGCCAGAGCTAGGCTTGGTTATTGATCTGGTTATTGATAGTGTCAAATAGAAATCTTCTTGAGTGATTCATTTTGAATTAAATAGTATTTTCATCCATCAGTCTTATAATTCCCCCACCGATCGTTTCCATCCACTGGTTCTCCCTCTCCACCCGGTCCACACCATCGACCGTGTCCATTGTAGATGAGAGCGCTCACATTCAGCACACATTTCGATATCTGAAAAGCTTTTTAGTTTCTGAAAGCTTAGAAAGGAATCGTTAGTGGGTCTAGAAACCAAATGTGTCTCAAAGTTATTAAAACTTCAAAGATTTGATCCTTACACCAACCGAAAAAGCCGCTTAATGGCGGGTCTTTCTGGCAGTGTTATCGTCGTGGCGCAGTCAGGAAAGGACTTGTCTACGGCCCACACAATCCGGGTTCGACTCCTAGTTGTGTCGTGACTTTTGCTTTTTAGAAAAACGAACGATGAGATGCACAACTAGATAGAATTCTAAGCCTAACAAAGGAAAAATCATGTAAATCGGCCAATGAACAGCCGAGAACTCGAGCGTACAAACAGCCAGACGACACTTCTCTTTTATATATAGTAAATAGTGTTTCACCACTAGAAAACTCCAGGATTATTTTGATTTCAAAAAGCTAAATGCTTGATAGGTTTGCCTTTATCTCACTAAACCAAAAATCCATCCTATTCAAAGAGATCCAATGAATCTGACCTCATCGAAATTCCACAGAGCTCCCACTCGACGCGATCGCGATTCGGAGAAGTGATTCATCGAGAAGAGAAATAGAAGAACTAGCAAGAAATCGGGTTTCATTTCACGAGTGTTTTTGATAGGGTTATAATTTTCAAATACAATTCGATATTCGATTTGTTTATAGATAGACTGATTGTTGGGTAATTATTAGCTATGGGTAATTATTAGCACAATTCTTTGTCTCAGAGATGCCATTGGCGAGCAGATAGACTTCAAGAAATCAACATGATGCAATTACTTTGGTCAAATACTCAAAACTCTTGTCCTGTTCTCTTGTTCTCTTGTCCAAACCCTAATCCTCAAATCATTTAGATTTAAATTTATAATTTGCATTTAACTTCTTGTAGGGGACAGATTATGGCGATTGTATTGTCTTGTAGATTATGGTGATTGTATTGTCAACTTGTCACAAGATTTGCCGCTCTTTAAGATCCAAATATGAATCAGAGTAGAATGCTTCCGAAAATAGATACAAAGTAGTCAAACTTCCGGGTATTTTGTTTAGAGTGATTCATGTTTTGATAAGGAAATTGACTGGGGAACTGTTTGCAATTTTAGTGCTTCAACTCCAGAAGACTTTTTGGGGAACTTTGTACAATCAGAGCTATTGGAGAACTGAAGCAGGCCAAAATCAAGAAAAAAACCATTCAGTAACGTTTATAACATGAATTTCAACCTTTCAGTGAGATTTTTTTAGGATTAGTATGGTGCGGAATGGGAAAAAAGAGAGTGACTCCGAACACTTGCTTTATTTCCAATTCAAAATGCATTTTCATTAACGTTTATTCAAATGGGTGAGGCAATAAACGGGTAGTCTAGTGGTTTAGTTTAGTTTAGTGGAAATAAATCATTGGGTGTGTGAAGGAAAAGTCGCAAAACAGAGTAAAAGATAGTTAAGGAAAAGAAACCTACCTTTTAGTGATATCACCCTGGCCAGCATCATAAACAGTGATCATCGAATCCATTAATAGTCTAATAGTCACCAATAGAGGGCAGTAGTCGTCCTCTTCGCTTGTTGCCAAAGATGGCAGGAATGAGATGAAGAGAGGCCGGTCAAACCATCAGTCGATGCCTAAAAGAAAGAAAATAGAAACGAAGAAAAAATAAAAAAAGTGAACAAAAGTAAAGAAAATCCCTTACCTATTCCTGTTTTCCCAAGTGATCGGCTAGCTGTGCTGGCTGAGCGCCGGCGGCTTCACCAACGCGTTTCTAGAGCTCATCTTGAATTCGCTGAAAGTGAAAAAGTTAAGTAGGTTAAAAAGTCGACTAATAAGATAATTTAGGCTTAAAAACGATCTATAACAAAGCCAATCAAAATTTACAAACTCTATCAAAAAAATTGTACGCTTTAGCTCAAAAACAACGGCTCTAATTTGTTAAAGTACTAAAAAAGGTAATAAATTTAAGCAATAACATTGCCAACAAAGCAATGATCAAAATGTTCAAATGAACAAAAGGATAAATCTTTATCTGAATGGTTGACAGTAAAAGTCCTTGCGTGCGGGCGAGAAGGATGAAAATCAAGAGGAATGTGACTCCAATCATCATCCATTGTGATTGGAGTGAAGAGGAGAATTTGAGATGAATGATATGACTTCCCCTCACAAAGCATTTCCTTTTATTTGACCGATGAATATACATTTCGGGTGTCGGATTTTGCAAGTGATGGACCGGAATCGATGGAATCAAAGTGGGCAACTTCGAAAAGCGCCTCAGCGAACTTCAGAGTATAACGGCTCGGGAAAAACCTAAAGCACAACAGAGTAAAAGATAGTTAAGGAAAAGAAACCTACCTTTTAGTGATATCACCTTGGCCAGCATCATAAACAGTGATTATCGAATCCACTAATAGTCTAATAGTCAGTAATAGAGGGCAGTAGTCGTCCTCTTCGCTTGCTGCCAAAGATGACTCTCAAACGACTAAAAACAGAAATATTCCAAACCTTAAAACAAAAATTTTCCTGAACAAACGTTCAACAAAAACGCCGGGAACACAGCACCACTTCGTGCCAAAATCAAAAAGAACGTCCCTGTGCGTCAACCAGAAGTGCGGAAGGGAAACGTGCGATGCAAGTCCTGATTCCACCAGTGACTCATAAGTTGCCAACTAAAAGATAGTTTTCTCAACAATACAACTAAAACACTTACTTGAGTAGAAATATCTGGTGTTGGAGCCAAAATTCCAAGAACTTCCATTTGAAAAAGAGACGAAGCTCCTCCTCTGCGTGTAGTAGCGCCTTGTGGACTTAAAATTCTACTTTAGAAAAACACGCCTGCTTTCTTTCCGAGGTTTGCTTTGGGGACCAAACGTTGAACTGGAGTCAAGCATGACAACGTGTTTGGATTGCGATATGAAGAGCATTTGAAGCATTTGAAGAGCTTCATGTCGAAAGACAACCTCCCAGTATTCGTCAAGATAACGCTCTGCAGACATGCGGAAGAGGGCCAGTTCAGGACACGTGACAAGAATGCTAAATGCAAAATGGAAATAATACAAATTTGCACAAAACCTCCTAAGCCGCTGCTGTCCCCACTTGAACAAGGAAATGACAAGACTGGCGTGATAATCTTCTGCAGAGAGCTGAATCATTTTCGGCATTCTCCTTGCAGCAATGACATTTTTGCCATGTAGAGAACTGCCTAAAAACACGATTTTTGCAGGCTTAATATCAATCAAAGAAAGCAAAAATCATCAAAAAATGTGAAAAAAACGACTAGGGGGACTTACTCCCCTGGGGGGCAAACAGGGGGTCAAAGGGGGACAAAAAGGGGGACAAGGGGGGACACCCGAAATGTATACCGATGAATGCAAATTTGGAAGCTGATCAAAACGTACCACAGCGGGCACATACCAAAGCAAGATAAGTAAGAGAGTAAAAAGGGGAGCTGGTCAAAACAGCGCCGGCCAAAATAATGCGCTTGCAGTTTGCAGTTTATTTGTGTTTCTTATTTTCATTAGATGTAGAAAAAAAATAGCTATCTGCTGAGTTTTTTGGAGCTGTTTAGAACAAATCTGGGATGAGAGAATGCCAAAAACGAAAAAGGGCTCAGAAAAGAGGTTAACTTAATCCAGACAGTCAAGACTTAATACTCTAATCTAGACTGAATACTCTATCTAGACTAAATACCGTAATCTAGCGTTTCTAGGCTGAAGCTACTATTCTAGATTGAATAACGTGATCCAGACCGTCAGGACTGAATAGTCTAATCTAGACTAAATACCCTAATCTAGCGTTTCTAGGCTGAATATTCTCGCTGAGCTTTTCTCGAGCTGAGCTTTTCTGAGGCTGAGCTTTTCTCGACACCAATTCTGTTTCAAGAGTGATCCCAAAGTATGCAAAATGTAGATAATTTCATTCTGCATCCAATAAGAATAAGAAACCCATAGAAACAACCGCGGAGGGGCTATTTTTGCCGTGGTGCTGTTTGTACACGGCACTGTTTTGACCAGTTCCTCAAATTTAGCTGTTTTCCGACAGTTTTGCGCCGGATATGCAAATTTTTTAGTGCTTTGGTGTTTGCCGACTTTTGTTATTTTAGAAAATTCTATTTCTTGAAGGTACTGTACATTTCTAAAGCGTTAAAATCATACGGTATTAAGTCGAAACTAGATGGAGTACCCCTAGATGGAGTACCCCTAGATGGAGTAACTAGTACCCCCAGTACCAGCTACGGTAGCTTTTGGAAGATACACGCTTTGGAAAATACTTGTAAATCTCCATTTCAAAGTCTTTCAAAATCCCAAAATGTTTTCGGATCGAAATTTGAGTGCAAAACCCTTCTCTCAAAGCTCTCTCTTATCAGGGATTTGATTTATTGGCATTTTTTTGATTTCAGCTCAAAAAATGGCTTTCTTATCACATGTACCATTGGTGGATTCGAGAGAGGCGAATTCATTGCCCACATTCCCCTCGCGAACTTTCGAACCCTTCACTTGTTTTTTTGTAAATTTTTGTACCAAAAAGTTGCCATATATAGACGGTTGTTCCTCATTTTGATCAAGAACTTTCCTACTCGACTTGCGGCACACGGCACACGGCTACAAAATCCCCCATATTGTTTAGCGATGCTGTTTCGTCTACTGGGTTTTGTTTTGATTGTCGGCTTGACGAGTGCCTCTCTACAAGATGTGAAGAATGACATTAAAAGCGGAAAAAAGCCGATGCATGGAGTGAACTTGGGTGGATGGCTTGTTGCTGAACATTGGATGACGCAAGGTGGAGAAAAGAAGTGAAAAAGTGATCCAGTTCTCTCGTTCAGGTTCCCCAGCTTGGATCGGTGTCCCAGACGATGTCGCAAATGGTGGAGAATATCAAACAATGAAATATCTCGGACATGACAAGGGTTTGTTCGGATGTTTTTGAAAATAAAGTAAAAATAATTAGCTATTTAGGTGATGGTCAATTCAACGAGCATCGTCGAACATTCATCACTGAGAGTGACTTTCAAGAGATCGGTTCATATGGATTGAACACAGTGAGAATCCCTATTGGATATTGGATTGTCGGATTCGATAATACTGGAGGAGGTGGGTTGAGAAAAAAGAATTAAAGAAGAAAACTTGGAGAACAAGTGAAAGCAAGAGCGGTTTTAAAGGACTGGCGCGAAAGCGGCGCAGCACGCTTTCTAAAGCGTGGATGCGCTACCGTACTCCGCACAAAATTCCCCTTTTGCCATTCTTTTCATTTTCCTTCATCCCATGGAGTCGGAAACTTTGTCCGGTTTTTATGTCCTATGCCGAATCCCGCTAAGTCTCTTTCCCACTTCGTAAAATCTATTAATTTTGTAGTCCGTTTTTAAAGTACTCTCTCCCCTCGGTCGTTCCCTCCTTTTTATATTGTTTGCCCATAGCTTGTTGTTTAAAATTCTAATACGGTTTTATTTCGTTTTCTTTTCGACTCTTTTCACTATATTGTTTTAAATCCGTTCACACATTACGTACTCAACTTAACCAATTCATTTTAACTAAAACGTAAATCTAAATAATCTGGCGCGATTTTCTTGTGACTTCGTCTTGGGTTTTTCTGTCAAATCATTTTAGGAAAGGGTTGGTAAGTTAGCGTTAGTTACTAACTTGAAGATACAGCAAACTTTAAAGCTAGTGAAAGTTTCAATAGACAGAAAAAACGTGTCCTTTCAATGCAAAAACTTTCAGGTGATGCAAATGGTTGGAAAGTGTGGGCACCGGGAGCGCTCGACTATCTGGATATGGCCATTCGTGAGTGGGGACCAAAGCACAATGTTCTCGTATTCATCTCAATTCACGCGGCAAAAGGAAGTCAAAATGGAAACGATCACAGTTCACCCGAGAATCCAGGTAGAGAGTTTTTGAAAAAAAACACTAAAGCAACTTTTGTCTAGGCCACGCCTATTGGTCGACTTATCCGGAGAATGTTGTGAACACGCTTGACGTGGTTGAATTTCTTACGAAGAGATACAAAGATGAAGTGGCTTTTCTTGGTGAGAGAAATTGGATTGACCATATTTTGATCATTTGACAAATAGCACACCTTTACAGCTTTAACCAGCGCTTAGAAAAACTTGCGGCTTCTTCTTTGCCACTGTTTTACTTTTTTTCTAAGCGCTGGTTAAAGCTGAAACGATGTGTTATATCTCAAAAAATCACCCTTTTTCTCTACTTTAATTTGATCCCTAAGTGCGCGGAAGTAAACGTACTGGCGTCGAGATATGAGCGTTTGTTTGAGAATAAACTTAGACTACACGACGCTCCTGTAGGGGGCTGTTCTATTAAAGTTTTTACGGTAGTTTCATTCACCTATTTCACCAAAATATTCCCAGGAATCGGCCTCCTGAATGAACCAGTTGGACAAGACGAGAATGTTCTCAAACAGTATTATTATGATGCATATGGAAGAGTCAGAAATAATCAGGGATCCGATTGCCTTCTCTCAACATCACCGATGCTCAATGAACAAAGTGAGTAAAAATTCAGATCCTGCTACCTTATGTAATGAAAAGTTTAGGCCCCGGTATGGGTGGATGGGACAATTTCATGCCAGCCGGTCAATTCTACAATATCCGACACGAATGGCACAAATATCTTGTGTGGGGATTCGAGGAGTCGAATGGATGGACCGCTGAGAAGGTTCGTGGAAACATTTACCGTAAATACTTTAATCCTCGTACAATCGTAGTCGTACCTCCTCGTACAGTCGCGTAGTCTGACTTCTTTTTAGAAAATTTTTTCAACTACACTTTTGGTACCAAAAAATCCTAGATTTCAAGGACTATCATTTGATACTCAAGCGCACACTGTATCTTAAAACAGTGCTGTGAATGGGACGTTCAAAATTAGACTACGCGACTGTACGCCCATCATTATAGGGGTGACGTTCTATTAGAGTGTTTACGATAGTAGCTATAAAGCAATGACCTGTCTCACAATTGTCATTTGGTCAGGTGATTGATTATGCGAATAACGGAATGGCCAATGATTTCAACAATTGGCATGGGAATTGGATTTTCGTCGGTGAATGGGCTCTGGCAACATCTGTCAGTATGAATGATGATCAGATGAAGAGACTTTCGACGGTAAAATTGCTGTTTTATCGTAATTTGACGTAACTATAGTAAATCTGAATTTTTTGAGAGCTTCAAGAATTTTCAGGCCGAATTGAACACTTTCGGGAAAGCAGTCGGCGGATGGACATACTGGGCCTGGAAACAATATGGAGATGATGGATCGGGGAAGAATGGATGGAGTGCGAAACAAATGTTCCGACAGGGATTCCTCCCGCATTTCTGATCACTTGTAAACATGTAAATAGACTAATAAACTCTTTTATTCTATAAAACCCGTCAAAATCATGAGCTTTTGTCTATAAAATGCACAGAAAATCATAAATGGTAAAGTAGAAAGAATAGAATTGTTGTTGTGATTGGTTTCCATCTCGGAGAGGATGAATAGCTGAAAAATTGGAGGTTTTATTCGAGTTAGCAAAAGCTTTAATGCAGTAATGCGCGGGTGGACCAGTTTTGCCTATATTAAACCTTGTTAATATCAGGCTTGCAAGCGGAAAAAAGCGGAAATTTAATATCTTTTATTTTCAAAGAAAAATCAACAAATGGGGTAGCTACGTTTTTCCGCTTTTTCCCTAACACTGCGTAGCTGCCCCATTCATTGGGTTTTGCTTTGAAAATCAAAAGATACTAAATTTCGCTTTTTTTTGCTTACAAGTCTGATCAGGATTTGTTAAGGCTAATCATTAATAGTAAGGCATAAGGCTCTACTCGGGCGGCAATGGGACACATGTCGATGTAGCTCATCGGTAGAGCGTCCATCCGACGAGTTTCCGACTTTTTTTACTCTATCCGGCAAGCTAGAGGTCGCGAGTTCGAACCACCGACAATGTTCTCTATTCCCAGCTCCAACCCATAAAAAGACCGGCGTGTTCAACTAATAAGCTCTTACTGGTATTGATATTAATTAGAAGTCAATTTTTACTCACAACGTATCCTTTGTCTGCGTAAAACTCGTCGGAAAGTCGGTGATATGCATTTGCAACACCCTCGTCCGCACGTACTCCATTCGGACGCCCGTTGTTGTCTGAAAGTTGCATTCGAAATTTGGTTTCTTCATTGAATTGGATAATGGAATGCTAGACAAATCTTTACAAAAGTTGTCGCTTCCATCGACCTTCCCCGTAGCTCAGCCGCGTAAAGTGTCTCATTTTTGTCGACTCGACACGCTCCATCGTCGGCTCGACAAATACACAAACCGATGTGATGTTCTGTTCGGCAGACTGTTCGTCTGAAAATGTTAGTTTTTTTTCACATTTTGATATATTCAGTTAGGTCCAGAGTTGTCCTGAAGGCAATTTTTCAGACTCAGACCAGTCCAGACACCAGATCTAAAACTGACCTATAGTCTGCACCGGTGGGATCATTCCTGCTTACGGCGAAAATTGAAATCTTTTGGATTTCAGCTTTTGAGGAATCGGGCTCTTTTATTGAAATAGATTAGATTGTCAACGACTTTTTCACCAAAAATTGGCTTTACAAATGCACCAAATGAAGTACGGTTTGCGCTATTCGAAAGATCTATATTTTCCTCTGCAAAATCGTTGTTGGCAATTTAGAAAAGCTTTCGTTTTTGGGGTTTCTCGGGAGGGCAAAGGCGAGTAGGCAAAGGTTGGCAACCTTTTTTTTTGATGGGAACTGACATTAACTTTCTAGTTTTCTAGTTTCTAGTCATAGAGAAAGATCAATCTCTGTAAAATTTCCATTACTGGTCCATGCAGCCGTGCAGCCGTTTTCTACAAATTTCAAATTATTCAGAACGCCTCATATGATCAAAATCCTTGATTTGAGAGCTTTTGTTTAAACGAAAATTCAGAAAAAACGGCTGGACGGATTTGGCGGTAATTTGACTGAAAATATAGAAAATCTATGTCTTTATTTTAAGTAAAAAAAGTAAAATTAATTGAAAATTGAAAAGTTGAAAAATTGAAATGAAAGAGAAAGAGAAAGAGAAAACGACAGATGGACGATACGGATCACAGAGTGGCTACCACGAGACCAGAAGAGGCCCATCGGAAGACCAGCAACGAGGTGGAGCACAGGAGTGGCAGAGACGGTCAGAGAAAGGATGGCTAGAGTGCAACCACCACCAGCACCAGCAAGTCGAAGACTTCGAACCAGGAACAATCAAGCTAGGAAACACTGGATGGCAATAGCAAGGGATAGAGAAATGTGGAAGCAGGTTGTGATCTGCGCAAATAGCAAACACCTGAGTGCGAAGAGAAATCAAAAAAAAAGAGAAATGAAATGAAAGAAATGAAAGAAATGAAAGAGAAAATTTTTGAGTTTGAGAAAAGATATATTTTCTATTTTCGAATGATGAAAAGCTATATATTTTCCAATGAAACTAGATCTCATTTCATTTAGCCATCATTTTTAAAAACCCATTTTTTCCTAATTCCAAAAATTCCGTCAAATTATTTAGATTTTGTAACTCACGGATCTTCTCTGTAGAAAAAGAAAGCCGAATCGAGCGCATCGACGCAACCGGCCAAGAAAAGAGAACGGCGATCAGATGTTATGTCTAGGAAAGAAATTTGAAGATCATTTTCGAGAGCCATAAACCAACAATAATAGCAGTACTCGGCATAGCAAACCGATGGATTCAAGCATTGAAGGGAGTTGTCGACAAACGTGAAAATACTGCACGTTTGGCACATTCCATCACCGTTCACGAAGTGCAAGAGAAAATCGACGAAGAGAAAGAGCAACGTGAGCATTTCGCTAAAATGATTTCGCATTGTTTTTTTTTTGGTTTTCCTGTACGCGCCACACTGCAGAGGGCCTAGAATGGTCAAAATTGAGTCAATGCTTTTGATTTTTCTGCAGATAAATCTCAAGTATATCACCTAAAACAGTGTTCACTATCTAATAGATTTTTGAGAAGATTGCTCTCAAAAATTGCATGAATAGCTCGGCTCGGCTCTCAACTAACTTTGAAAGTTCATATGGCAAAAAAAGTTGAAAGCTTGAATCTATTAGATAGTGAACACTGTTTTAGGTGATATACTTGAGATTTATCTGCAGAAAAATCAAAAGCATTGACTCAATTTTGGCGAATCTAGGCCCTCTGCAGAGTGGCGCTATAATTGTGGGCCATCGTGGCCATAAAGCTGTAGGCCATCGCTTGGTATTTGAGAGCTTTGAGAGGACAAAAATCCTTGAGTTGAAAATGTGGAAATGTGGAAATGAAATGCTTTTTATTGGTTTTTTGTAGTGCACAAATATGCGTGAAATTTGAAGCCAGATTAAGAGATTAATTCGATTTGAATGAAAGAGTGAAGAGGAGCGTGAAAAGTAAGGGAAAAAGTGGCTAATTTGAGAGGAAATCGATGAATCGTCGTGTTTAGAAGAGATTTGCTCATTCATTTCACTCCTTAAACCCTTTAAAGGACAGATTTCCGATCGGATTTGAAGCTTTTACTGAAGCGTTTTGCGTTTAGCGCTTTATGCAAGTGTACTTACGGAGATAAAACTAGCTTAATCAAATGATTAGAAAGTGCTATCTAAGTAAATAATATTAGATTGTTATCTTTAGCTTATTTGGAAGAGTTTTGAGGATTGAATCTTTTTGAATAAAGAGGAAATTGGAAGAGAGGAAATGGCCAAAGGAAAGGCCAAAGTGTGGGAGTGGTGCTCCACTTGAAATCTTCGAGTTTTCCTCTTTTTTTTGAAGAAATATCTTTAAAAGCTTTCAATTTAGTAAAAAAAAATGAGATTCGTTTTAATTAGAGGATGAAAAATAAAAGGAACATATTGGAACCATATTGGAACCATATTGGAACCATATTAGAACCATATTCTTGAAAGGAACATATTGGAACCATATTGGAACCATATTGGAACCATATTGGAACCATATTCTTGAAAGGAACATATTGGAACCATATTGGAAGTTTAAGATTTAAAATTTGACATAAGGTAAACTTTTGATAGAAGTTGTTGGAGAGGAATCTTCTCTTGCTGTTGTCTGAAAGGTCTGAAAGGACATCTGTTGGCCCTTTCGCCAAGCAATTGTCCCATTCAACAATAGACCCAATTTTGGCACCTATTAACCCCTTGGAGACACGCTTTAAATGATAAATCTCAAGGAAATTCTTTGATTTGATTTTCCTGGGGATTTAAAGCTCACAAGTGACAGAAGTGACAACAGCCAGATCAGCGAATCAAAAACGAAATCCTATAAGATGGGAATTTGCCGTGACCTCCAGGATTACGGAATCCGTTGAAAAAACAAAACTCATTCATAAGGATTTCCGAAAAAACCGGTGAAGTCGCCGCGGATTTTCAGGACTGGGACCCCACAATCGTCTGTATCTCCGCAATGACCCCGAAAATCGCTCTTTCTCCCGTTTTGGACCTCACGGAAGACACTGGCTCACTTGATTTGGGTCACTTGATGCCGCACTTGATTCAAGTTCAAAATTATCGTAATCAAATTTGTTATTTTACATGCGATCAACCCAAATGACCGAAGCTTTTGATTCCTCATTGAATTATATAAAAATAGAGCTAATTAAATAGAATTATATAAAAATAGAGGTAATTAAAGGTAGACTAGCGGCTCGATTACAGTAGTTTCTTCACAAGAAGAAATGCTTTTTAGAAAAAGGATTAGCCAGCAAACCTTTTAAATAAGAAAATACAACAAATTAATGTCTCAAAATGGGATTTCATTGCGAAATTTGGTGAAATTTTCACTTCAAAAGTTGTCATCGATATTTTAATACATTTGCGACGATATAATGAACGAAACGTCAATTTCGCACTTTTTTTTTGAGGCTGATTGGGTTGAAAATTTGCAATCAAGGCTTTTCAGGGTCAAGGAATTCGAATCCATTATTTGTTTTTAAAGAAAACCGCTATTTTTGGATATTTCATTCGGTTTAATTGAACCTTTACGGTTAACGGCGGGGCAAAATTTTTGACCAACTTGCAGCCCAATTTTATATAAGTTTATGTTAATAACTTTTGATAAAACAAATATTTTCTGAAAGCTGACGTTCTAAGCTATCTAAATCTTTTTAAAAATTCTTGATCTGATAAGTTGAAGGTGCTTAAAAATGAGCTGAAAGCTGACCAAAAACTCGCGCCCCCGTTAACCGTAAAGATCCGTTTAAATTACCCAAGAAACGGCAGTGAAGCCAAAAATGACTTTGATCCAAAAAAGAAACATGAAATACACGAAAACAATGAAACTTTAATTGAAAAGAAAAGATTTTTTTTACTAAAATTTGAACGATTTTCTATGTCGAGAGAACATGTAAGTGAAAGTGTAAGTGAAAGAACATGTAAGTGTGAAATTCGAGCCACCATCACCAGCCACTTCCACCAAACAATCAAAGAATCTTTATCGAGAAAAACGGGAAACTTTTCTTTTTCATTGAAATGATTTCCATAAAAAAAAAAGTACAAGATTTCCTTTTATTCTGTCTTTTTTTTTTGCTTTCTCTTGAAGAAATCGAATTTGTCGCTGCTTTTCCCTTTTCTTTCGTTCTTTTTCATTTCATCTTTTTCTTTTCTTTTTCATTTTTTCGAATTGAAATCCACTCAATGCACATTTTGTGTTGATGTGTTCGTTTTTAAGCTTTTATAAAGTTTGTAATCGACTAGATATTAATACAATAACGTTTCTAAGCTTTTATAAAGTTTGTACTCGACTTACCGACTAGATATGAATACAATATCGTTCTTAAGCTTTTATAAAGTTTGTACTCGACTAGATATTAATACAATATCGTTTTTAAGCTTTTACAAAGTTTGTACTCGACTAATCGACTAGATATTAATATAATATCGTTTTTAAGCTTTTACAAAGCTTGTACTCCACTTATCGACTAGATCTTAATACAATTTTCGTTTTCAGTCTCTAGCTGTGTAAAGTAGAAGGGGAAAAAAATGCAAAAACATTATTATTTACAAAATTTTGTAAAGAGAGGAAGGAGGCAGAAAAGACAAAAGAAAAAAGAAAAGACAAGAGGAAAGCTGGAAGAAATTGATGGGAAAGTTGAGCTTTCAAAAGGAAAACAAATTAAATTATGCAAAAAAAAAAACTCGACCACAAAAATATATACTCGTCAACGACTTTGAGGCTTTGAATGTCAAAAATGGAAAATTTGTTTAAAAAACATGACTAGTTGGGGAGGGGAAGGAAAAATTGAAGGGAAATGGGAAAAATACCATATTTTCGATACGATAATACCGATAAAAGTAGCTTCTCCAATAATGACGGTCGGAACGTCGCGTAGTCTAACTTTAAACGCATTTTTCTCGCCATCTGTTTATGCTACAGCTACAGCTTTAGTATCAAATGAAAGCTGAAATTCAGGGCTATTTTTTGATACCAAAAACGCATTTTTAGAAATTATGGATGCTTAGAAAAAAATGATTGAGTAAAAATGATTTAATAAAAATATTTTGCGACTACGCGACTGTACGGAGGGGAGAGGCTACTATTACGCTACTATTACGCTACTATTACAGGTATTACGATAAGTGACTATCACAGCACCGTTGATGGAGTTGATTGTGCAAAAATTGGTAAAGGAAAGTGAAAAGCTTAGGCTAATTAGGGTACAGTAAGCTTACCATAATCTCAATATCTATAGTATAAGATCTAAAAATAGTACATATTACATATCGAACTCAATATTGGTTGATTTTGACGCAAAAAGAAGTCACAGAAATCGACAAAATAGCAAATTCACTTAAAAGCTGCAAAAAATTGGCCTTTCTATCGTAATCGTTGCTATTTTGTGAATGCAAATGAAATAATTACGATAATATATAGCAATGAGCAATTAGAATAAGTACAAGGATTACTGTAAGCTTCAATATTTCTTTTTTTACAGTACAGTTGATGTAGATTTCTTGGGGTAGGCTAATTTCCGCAATTTTTTTTTGCGCAACTCACCATAACTTTCTTCTAACTCGGTCAATCTTTATGATTTTGGTTTCATTTTATAGATCTTAATAAGTGCAACAAAATGACACCAAAATCATAAAGATTGGTCCACTTAGAAGAAAGTTATGGTGAGTTGCGAAAATTGCGAAAATTAGCTTACCCCGATTTTTTGTCTGATTGATAATTTAGAAAGCTAATAAAAGCTAATAAAAGCTATTCATCTACCTAGCTGAATATCTTTTATTTAAAGAATTTAAAAGATATCTAGCTATTGGCTATGTAACAAGATTAAACATTGAAGCTATACAGCACCTTTCGAATTCAACAATAACAAGAAACTGATCAGAGCACAGCGTGGGGATACCCGTAATAAAAATGAGTCATTGAATGAAAAAAAGATATTCAGTTAATGAAATGAAATAAAATTTTAAAAAAGATATTCAGTTAATGAAATAAAAAATCAATGTAAATTTAGTACGTTTCCCTGACTTGAAAAGATTTTTGAGGCAAATACTTCGGGAATACAATGGAATACAAATGGAGAGACGAGGAAAAAGCACCGTGTTTCAGAAGTGAATGATGTGAATAATATAAATATAGATAATAGACATAAATATCTATAGAAACTAGGCAAGTTTTTTAGGAAATTAGGTCATCAAATAGTAAACGGGGACATTATCGATGTCGACCGGCGAGGTACTCAGCCACTGCTTGATAGCAAAACGCGTACTCTTCCTGGAAAAGTTTATGTTAATTTTTTAGAGAAAGTTTATTGATAAATTTATAGATTAGAAATAAAGATTATAGGATATAAGAGAATAAACAGACTAGAGCTTTTCTAAACTATAAAATATAGCTGATAGTTTGTTGATCGTTTATAGCTGATGGTTTATAGCTGATTGTTTATAGCTGATTGTTTATAGCTGATCGTTTATAGCTAATCGTTCATAGCTAATCGTTTATAGCTAATCATCCAATAAACTCAAACTTATTGAGCACAGACTTCGTATGCAAATCTCTCGAAATCTCAAACAGACCCTTTCAGACTACTGTACGATAACTACTGTACTGTCAAAAGTACGATAACTTTTACGCAACATAGCCTTCAAAGATTTCAAAACTCTTAACAAACCATTTTCGTGAAAGTCTCCGGTCGTTGTTGTTGTATTGATCGAATCGTTTGCAGTACATCGATTCGTTGTTCGGCTTTCAATCGCTCCATCAACAATGAAACCGCACAATAGACTGCAGCCTCAGCAGAACCGTTTCTAAAGTATAAGCATTTGTGTTAAATCAATAGTACGGTACTAGTCTATATCTATATTTACAGTCACATCATTCAAGCAAATTTACAAGCAATGACAAAGCAATACAAGCAATCTACAGTAAGAGTTTGAGCACTCGTTCTATTAGACTATTCAGAAAGTAGTCTTTTCGTTCTGAACAGCCTAATAAGTAGAGTTAAATTCAAAACTAAATCAAGTTAAGGTTCAGCAATCAAGTTAAGGTTATTTGATAAGTTCTACCTGCACATGAGTACAATTGGTCCTTGATCAATATGTGATTGTCTCTCCAACACTCGTCCAATCAACGCCAACAATGTTTCCGATGAATGGGGCACTGGGGAGTTCACCGGCCAGTCCGTAAAACAAAATTGGACAACGGATCGAGAGGTGGATGGATCGTTCTGGAATTGAAATTTAGAGGTTGATTTATTGTAAGCTAGCTAGCTTATCGATTGTAAGCTAGCTTATCAAATCTTTATCCTTTTTTGATTTGATAGGATTTAGATTGAATAAAAAGCCGAATCTCTACTTGATTATCTCACCTTCATCACGTAATCCATCCTTCGTGTGATGAAACAAGATCCTTTCTCTTCCGATATCAATCTCACTGTGACTGAGTGCGAGTCGCGAGAGAGGACACGTGATGAATCAACCTTTTCAGGCCAATACTGAAAGTAAAGTTATCGGTTTTGATTTGATTTTGATTTGATTTTTGATCCTCTCATAGCTTTGATTACCTTTTCTGTCTTTTCAAACAATTCCTCTTGTGAAAGCATGACAATTGTGACGACTTTTTGTTCGCAAACCATTCTCCACACATCGAATGCCGTTGCTTCACAGAGTGGGTCTTGTGCAAGGATGTATGGATAGAAATAACCCTGAATTCGATACGATTTACGGTAGCTTTTCAGTCGCTTTTTCAGTAGAGCTTTAATCTTGTTTTCCTCTTGATCAAAGCGTTTCTAAAACGTGTTCTTTTCTCAACTATCATAATCCAATCTATCTAATTCAATTCAGAGTTCAGAAAGGACACCAAAAGATACAAAAGTAGATAGATTAGATAAAATAGGTGTAAGATTACGGTAGTTTTTAAAAGAATACATTTTAGGAAACAATTGCCAGTGTTGAGATCTATCTATATGTTAAAACTCACTCTTACACTGCTCGCGTTGATATAACTGCTGTCAACATATCCAAGGCATGGTTGCAGACAAACCTAGGTTTAAAAGTATACATTATTCTACAGTCTGCTTACATTATCCTACAATATAATTTACATTAAACTTTACAGCTAGATAATTTTCATAAATTACCCGATTCCGATCAAAGGGCACCGCTCGAGGCTGGCGATTTTTCATCAAATTTTTCGTCTCATCCGCGAATTTCGTGCTTGGTCGAATCTCCAGCTCTTCTTTTAACTTCTAAATATTTTTAAATTATCAATTTCTATATGATATCTGCATAATTATCCGCATAAATTAGATATTCAGCGAACAAACCTTGAACTCTTCCTCCATTTTTGTGCCAATATTTCGCGTTGGAGTGGCGCTAGAATATTGCAAAATTGAATATTGAATATTGAATATCGAATATTGAATATTGAATATTGAATATTGAATATCGAATATCGAATATTCAATATTCAACATCGAATATTCAATATTCAATATTCAATATCGAATATTGAAAAGAATAGATTATTCAAGAAAAAAGCCCGATTACTTTACTTTACTTAATAATCGATTTTTCATTCCATTTTTTTTTTATTTACCCATTTTGCAATTTCTCATAGTGTTCAAGGAAATCGTTGACATCGAGATCCGTTCGACCGAACAAATGCCATTCAGCCAACACTTTATAAATCGATGTGTACTGTTCCTAAAATATATGAAAAAATATATAAATTTTCTAATATTTTCCTTGCCCTCTTTCTTAAACTATCGTAAACTTGGCTCTATTTTTTTTCAATTAGTCTACGTTTTTTGTTTGTTTGTGATTCATTTAGCCAAAAAGAATATCGAAAGATATAAAAAGTAAAGTAATTGGAGGCCAAGATTTGTTGTTACAAACAGAGGCCAAGATTACGATGGCTTTTTGAAAATTGATATTTTTTAGAAAACCCCCACCAAATTCTGCACCATATTGTTCCGCTGTTGGCGCATCTGGGAGACGAATTTAAACACGTCCACCTAAAGTTTCCGTTACCGTAACTTACCGTAAATACTGTAATAGTAGCCCCACCCCCATGATGACGGTGCGGAGCGTTGCGTAGTCTAGCTTTGAACGAGTTTTTCTCGACACTGGTTTATGCTACAATGCGCACTTAGGTATCAAAAAATAGCCCTGAATTTCAGCTATTTTTTGATACCATAATGACGGTGCGGAGCGTTGCGTAGTCTAGCTTTGAACGAGTTTTTCTCGACACTGGTTTATGCTACAATGCGCGTTTAGGTATCAAAAAATAGCCCTGAATTTCAGCTATTTTTTTGATACCTAAACGCGCGTTGTAGCATAAACCAGTGTCGAGAAAAACTCGTTCAAAGCTAGACTACGCAACGCTCCGCACCATCATTATCTTTCGTATCAAAAAATAGCTGAAATTCAGGGCTATTTTTGATACCAAAGACGCATTTTTTGAAAGTACGAGCGCTTTGAAAAAAATGAAATACTAAAAAACTTTTGCGACTACGCGACTGTACGAGGGGAGGGCGGGGGTACTATTACAGTATTTATGGTAAGTAGTTTTTTAAACTATAATATAGCTAAATTACAATATTTTTTGTTCTCTATTCGAATATTTCAAAAATTCACCTGATCCTCTTTCTCGTACATGTCCATCATGGCATCCATCGCGATCAAGGTGCCCGTTCGCCCGACGCCAGCACTGTAAGAAAAAAAAAATTACATTTGAATTTGGATATAATTTACATATCAAAATAAATATCTACATGATAACGCAGTTCTTTTTCCTATTTTTTTCTATGTTATCTTTTCAATTTTATTTTTGATAATATTAATAATAGCAATTGGGATAATGAATTATCCCAATTGCTATTATCAATATTATTACTATTATCAACTTTATGAGCAATTGGGATAACGAATTATCCCAATTGCTCATAAAGTTCAAGAAAAAAATTTGTCATTATTAGTCTGAATTAGCAAGAAAGTAAAGTCACCAAACTTTTTTCTTTTCATTTCTAAGATAGACAGCTATTTTTCAAGCGATTAAACAATTTCAAGATTAATGTAAAACAGTAAAAGCCGAAAGAAAAACAGCTAATGTCAAAGGACTCAAAACAAGATTTTTGGAAGTATCAAAAAACACAACAACTCGGAAAAAAATGACTCTTTTCACTTTTAAAAAAGTTAAAAAATTTTATTGACTGTATTTTCTTGTTAATGAATGAACAATAGTGACAAATTTTTCTTTAACTTTTTATCTAAACAATTACCGTAAATACTGTAATAGTACCCCACCCTCTCCTCGTACAGTCGCGTAGTCGCAAAACTTTTTTAGTATTTCATTTTTTTCAAAGCGCCCGTACTTTCAAAAAATGCGTCTTTGGTATCAAAAAATAGCTGAAATTCAGGGCTATTTTTTGATACCTAAATGCGCATTGTAGCATAAACCAGTGTCGAGAAAAACTCTTTCAAAGCTAGACTACGCAACGCTCCGCACCATCATCATGGGGCTACTATTACAGTATTTACGGTAAGTTACGGTAACGGAAACTTTAGGTGGACGTGTTTAAATTCGTCTCCCAGATGCGCCAACAGCGGAACAATATGGTGCAGAATTTGGTGGGGGTTTTATTTCATTATAAATGCCGTCATTAATCTTAAAAAAGTTAAAATAGCACAGTAAACTATGTAAAATTGAAAAAGAATTTTCTTCACTATAATTTTGAATATTGAAAATGTTTTTAAATAATCCACCTGCAATGTATAACAACTGGCGTTTTCCAGAATTCATCCTTTTCACGCAATAGAAGCAAAAATCTGAATGAAAGATTTATTCATGATTTAAATTTGATTAATGTTTATACAAATTTAAATATCATTTTAGCTATTACAATAGTTCATTTACTTATTCGAATATCTATTTCTAAAGCTTTTTCTTACCTTAAAAGTCCAATCGATTCGGCGGCTTTGTGATCGTTCCAATTCGTGAAGTGATACTGCGTGATTTTACGACCTAAAAAATCTATTCATACTATAACAATTGATAAAGCTTTAGTCTGAGAACTTGATTATTTTTATTATTCAATATTTACCAATCGGTGATGTACTTCCATTTGAGATGATTCCATTCGGCAAATTTGCGTACTCCGACCCGTTGCACTCCATCGTGGACATGTCGGCCAAGCTTCTGGAATTGATAAATGAACTAATAATAATAATAAAATATAAACTAATAATGCATCATGGAATATGTATATTGTTTTAATTTCAATTTAAATGGAATTTAAAATGTATTTTTGAAAGTTTTCGTGATCAGCGCCCTCGATTATTCAAGAAAAAAACAAAATGAAAACCCTGAAAAAGAATCCCCCGAACTATCACCGTATTTTCTCTAATAGTAGTGCACCCTAAGCTCCTCCTAAATTCCTCGAAATCTCGAGAACTGCTTATCAGAACCTATTGATGTGGGGTCGGAAAATGTAGCTAACGATGAGCTCTTGTGGGGGATTTGAGTGTTGAGCTTCTGGGAAAAATTGGTAACCGTAAAATAGGCATCAACTCGGCTACAAATCTACCGTAACAAATCGCTTAAAGAAGCTGGTAACTAAAGGAGAAGCTGATCTCAATGAAGCTAGTCCCTAATACTAGTCCATAAGCTTGCCTAAATTGCTCGAAATCTCGAAAACCGCTTATCAGAACCTATCGATGTGGGGTCGGAAAATGTAGCTAACGATGAGCTCTTGTGGGGGATTTGAGTGTTGAGCTTCAGCAAAAGCTTGGAAACCGTAAAATAGTCACCAACTCGGCTCGCCGAGGTGCACTACTATTAGAGAAAATACGGTATTCATAAATTTTCTCAAAATTTCAAACCTTCCATGATTGACAGCGATATTGATTGGAGATAATCGACCACTCGTCAACTTTTCTCTAATTTCAAAAGATCGAATCGCATAATCAGCATAGTATTCAGCGGCACCACATGGGACAATGTCGAAACGGGGTAAACTAAAACATAAGTACTTTGTGCTCTGGGAGACGTACGGTTTGCTCAGATCTGCATAAACGCACACCTTCTAGCAGACTGTGGCTCAACTGGTGTGCCAGAAAGTGGGCGTTTACGAGAGATTTTAGCCAAAAGAAAAAAACTCACTGTAGCGGATCCTCGTCGGGCCAATACTTTGCGCACTGTTGCTTGTGTCTTTCCGTCAGATTGGCCACCTAAAATTTGAATTCAAGAATTTAGGATTTAGAAATGCAATTTATCAAATCCAAAATGAGAAACTACACCAACCATTACAATCATCTCCACATTTTGCTCCCAGCACATTCGCCAAAAGTCTTCGATCGTATTTTGGAGGGGCCCTTGGGCGGCGATGAATTTCTTTTGCGGATCATACGCCTAAAATTAAGTTTAATATGGCAAATTAGGCATTCGATTATCGAAATTATCCAACTAACCTTGATAAAATTCGCATTGATATAATCAGAGTACTCGATTCCGTCGATTTTCTTCAGCTTCACGCGCGTTTCATCAAAAGCCCGAATATCATTGTAACTAAAAAGTTATTGATATTAGAAATGGAATAGAATAGAATATCTAGATAGTTTTTAATTATCTAAATATTATCTAGATAAAGCCCATACCGATTTTTATTTGCGTTCTCTTTACGTTGACTGGCCGAGGTATCGAGTTGATAGTTGGGAGTTCGCTGGAAACAAAACTACTGTAAATATCTCGTAATAAAGTCTATAAGTGACTAGCTTTTTCTATAAAAACCAATATCTTTAATATCTTACACTGTATTCTTCGAAAAATAGGAAATCCGAATCCTTGTGCCTTGTCCGATACTCTCCCGGGATATCCTCGCCCTTCACCGGCCCATAAACCGACATTTTGAGTTGAATGTGATCATTGCCAGATAATTTCTTGTTTCTTCTAAAATTTGATCTATAGCTTTTGAGATTTAGCTTTTTAGTACTTTAAAATATCGTTTAAGAACGGTTTTTCAAAAAAACTGTTAACTCACATCGTTGTAAAGATGAAAAACGATCCGCCGGCGACGAGAGCGAAAATGAAAAGAACAGTGAAAACGATGAGAAGTGTCGCCCAAGAGCTTGAGTCTAGACAAGATGTTTTGTTTTGGAAAAGTCAGATGTCTTTAATGTCTTTAATGTCTTGGAAATGTTTCTTAATTGAGCTTTTCTTATCAGAATAACAGATTGTCACTGCTGGATTCTATTTGCTGGATTCTATTTGGATTAGTCTCCAAAATCGATATTCTTTATCAATTTTACCTTCACCAAGTCCATTTAGTGCAACGGGTTTGAAATACGAGCTGTACGCGTATGAAGTACTCTTTGTCGACGAAGAGATCACTGGCTGATTGCCCATCATTCGACCCTTTAGACGACCACGGGGAGCCACGGTGCTCGGCTCGGGTTTTTGGTTCTGAAACGATGAAAAATTTGCATACTCCTTTATAAATTCTAATGCTAGTTTTAGATTTAGCTTATTTTACGGTAGCATTACTGTCTAGGGTTTCAGACGTGTCGAAACTCGAGAAAGCCTTTGAAAAGGAACTTAGGCTCGAATATTATCTAATATACTCATTGTAAGTACGACAAATGAAGCGAAAACTAATTAGCAACTTGTTTCCAAGCCTTCTAAAACATATTCAGCTAGATAATTAGCAATATTTCCTTAAAATATTCAATTTTATCGACAAACTTCGGGATTGTCGACGCGAGCGATGAGAAATCCGGTGTAGATTAGTCCCTGTCGAAGAGCGATGTCCTCACTCACGTGTCTCTCCAAATATCTAAAATTAAGATAATGGTACGATAAATTCTCTAATATACTAATCGTAAGTACATAGCTTAACGTAAGTACATATAAAGATCAGACTAACAATAAGCCTTACTTTGTAGCACATGGCGGCACTCCACTACTCGTATTTCCATCGCCCATGATCGCTGTGTCAGGCAGCAATTTGTCATAACTCTCCGCAATGTAGGCAAGATAACTGAACATCTTTATTTCTAGATATACCGTATTTTTCCTAATAGATGACATAGAGAAATGAGGTAGCGATTTTTAGAAAAAATCCGAACAACATCCAAAATCGGTTCAGAGGTTCGCGAGAAAGTGATTTAGTGCGGAAAAAACGACTACGCGACGCTCTTCTGGGCATCTTCATACAAGAAAAATACGGTATTTAATCTATTACCTCTTTTGCTCACTGTTCACCACTTTCATATTGTTTTTGAAAGCATTTTGACCATTATCGATCGAGATGTCGGCAGGTGGGGGTAACTTGTCGATGCTAGCGTTGAGAAGCAATGGAACGATTGCCACATAGTAACAGCTAAATAACTAAGATATTTTAGCTACAATATACCTATATACAATATCTAAACATAAAATAATATTCTTAACCTATCGAAAAAAGTATAAACTTGATAGCTTGATGGAGTATTTTAAATCTGTTCGATTCAAAAAGCTTTCCTATCCTTGTTATCGTTGAAAAATTGATTTAAATTTCCAGATACACATTTTAATTATTCTTATATTCAATTTATTCAATAGATTTATCTTTTTCCAAAAAAATCTTACGTAATCGGTCCATTCGTTTGATCAGGGGTGCCCGCGTATTTCAACTGGATATTCGTCAAATTCTGCGGTGGTAAACTCTGCGGAGATTCGATCTAGATAATTTTATTGATAAAAACGGAATATTTATTTAATAAGATAGATATTTAACATAAAATCCAATCACTTACCCGATCAGGTGAAGAGAATTTCGTGGTGCATTGCTCAGCAAAAGTCAACGGTTGACTTTTTCCCGCCGCGTTCGCCGCCCAAACCGTCACCGAGTAGTTTCGATTTGGCTGGAAATTGATGAAAATTTATATATCCGTAAATACTGTAATAGTACCCCACCCTCATAATGACGGGGTGGAGTGTTTCGTAGTCTGGCTTTGAACGAGTTTTTCTCGACACTGGTTTATGCTACAATGCGCATTTAGGTATCAAAAAATAGCTGAAATTCAGGGCTATTTTTTTGATATCAAAAGACGGAGCATCACGTAGTCTAACTTTAAACGCATTTTTCTCGTCATTATTTTATAATGACGGCCGGAGCATCGCGTAGTCTAGCTTTGAACGAGTTTTTCTCGACACTGGTTTATGCTACAATGCTCGCTTAGGTATCAAAAAATAGCTGAAATTCAGGGCTATTTCTTGATACCAAAGACGCATTCTTTGAAAGTACAGGCGCTTTGAAAAAAATGAAATACTAAAAAACTTTTGCAACTACGCGACTGTACGAGGGGAGGGTGGGGTACTATTACAGTATTTACCATATATATAGCAACTATTCACTAGTATATTACAGTATTCTTTATTTACTAGATATTATTATACAAATTAAACCGACTTTCAATGGCCCGAAGCGACAAACGAAGTAAGTTGGAGAGGGGAACCCGGATGGATCCACACTCTTTTCCGGACTCTCGGACTAAATTTTAGAATAAATATATTAATAAATCAATATTAATAAATCTAAATATGATTACGAATCTATTAACTAAATATCTTTATAAATTTACTTGATCAAAATTCGAGCATTTTGAGTCAGTTGCCGGTGGGAAATCGTCGCTTGTCACCTCGGATCGAAAGTCGGAAAGCCCGTCCCGGATTTTCCCCTCCATACGAACCTAAAAATAGAACTAGAAAATATACTATATGTTATCTAGAAATCTAATCTATTTTAAAGATCTTACATAGTACGCAGTGATCCGTCCATTCGGTTGCTCAGGCGCTCTCCAATCCACCTCACAATAGTGTCGCCCGTCCTCGTCCTCCACCAGTCGCAAATCTTGAGATCCGGGTGGGGAAGGAGCTAAATGGGATGCGTTTCAAATTCAACATTCTTGTAAACTACCTTTCTCAAGAGTTTGAAAGTGTTCGGTCATTCGAATTTGTTCGGGACCGGCATGAACGGTGATGTGAAGAGTGTAAGCGGTGGCAGGCAACAACTTCTCGATCACCACCGGACTCTTCGCGTTGTTCGTCGTCCAGTTTTGCGTTGTTGCGACTGCATGACTGGTTAGCCTAAAAGTTCAAATTGTTTCAGTTATTAGATTGGTAGTTGTAGAATGAATAAGTAGTTAAACTGTATTGGTGCATTTATTTGTTTAATGAAAGTACGAAAAGGAATGAAAAGACTTTCTGAAGAGCTTAATTGATCTAAAAGCTATAAAGCAATAGATATAAGTGCATTAACTGGATAAAGTATGAAACTAATAAAGTACTACTGTAGCTAGAGTCTGTAGACTTTGGATAATAAAAACAAAAGAATAAACAGACAAAGGTAAACAAAAAGGTTTGCTATTGATAAAATGTCGTAAGCTGTTTTCTGAGCTCCGAATCTGTATCAGTATGTTCTTCTGGTTAATCTCTTTTCTAAAAGATACATATTTTAGACAACTACCGTAATCAAACGGTCAGTTTACATTCAATTAGCTAAGTTTTGTTTCCTTTATGAGGCTATGATTGGTAGGAGAGATCAATGAGAGCTATACTGATTTCTTCGAATTTCCTAGTGTTTTAAACAGGAAATTTTCCTTACTAAGACATTCAGCTTAAGCTGGTTTAAGCTCAGGCCACATTTTTGTACATTCTTGTAACATTTGTGCCATCAGTATAGAAGAAGTTGGCTAGGACAGATCTAGAGGGTTAGACGGCTAGTTCAAATCGAGTCAAGAGCCAGCTTAAGCCTTGAGAACAGAGTAAGTTGAGAGCTGAGTTTGGGTAGGACCAGGACAATATTGGTTTATTGTTTTTCTTTCTTTTCCCCACCTCAAATCAATCCTCAACGAATCATCCTCAGTCTCCCATGTCACATTAGCGTTTGTCGGCGTTGAAACAACCGCGAAATTCTTCACTTTCTTCGAGGCTAAAAGATTATTTTCGTTTGATTTGTAGATCCACTAGCATGCAATGATCGAAATCATATAAAAAGCTAAATGAAGAGGGAACTGAATGAAGAGAATAGGCATGCTTTCTCGCAAAGAAATCACTTGACAACATTTCATCACAATTTCTTTTTTCAGACCTCCTCTGTGTTTATGTTTTGATGAATTTGATGGGATATGAAGGAGACCGTCTCCCTTTTTCGCGCGTGGGCGATAGAAAAGATTATGAGGAGAACGGGCGAGTGATTGACCGACTCCACCCGGCGGTTGATGAACAACCGCCCGCAGGTATGGGGCCGCTAAAGGAAATGGTTTCTATCAAATTTAAATCTATTGAATTTTTCATTTTCTGGATTATGACGGGATTACGGTTCAACTTACGACTCAACTATGCAAAGAAAACTCTCATTCTCAATCAAATTTCTATTTTATTCCAATCCAAAATTACACAAAAAGGATTAAACTTTACAATAATCTCTAATTACAAATAAACAAACGCACATTTCACTTCGAATTCCATTGTAAAGTTGACAGGTGGTAAACGAGGAGAAGAAGTTGCATAGGAAGCAAGGCACATATAAGTGCCCGAATCGGAGAGTTGAACATTGCTGATCTCCAATTTCCAACACGGTGTTTCCGTCAGAAAGAAGCGATTATTTTCCTCAAGGCCACTTTGCTAAAAGAAAGGATACTGAATTCATTTCGTAAACCTTTCCGGTAGTGTTATGTGCTAAAGAACGATTAAAGTAGCTTTTACTCACAAAAGCACTCTATTGTTAATCAAATATTAATCTGTATTCTTTAATCTGTAATCTTTAATCTGTAATCTTTAATATGTAAGTAAGTTAATCTGTAAGTATGAAATATCACTTTTTTTAATAATATTCTGTTTAAAATTCCCTAAAACAATGGGAAAAATCTATAGGCTGAGAATTTTAAAGAAGTTAGACTACACGACTGTACGGTGTTCTTTAGAGTATTTATGGTATGCATTTGATCAAACCTGAAACGGATGCGAGGTCGGATCTTTCTGCACCGAGCTATTGTGAATGAAGACGACGCCCGAGTGATCGACGACATTCGTCGGATCCATATTGATGCAACAATACATTGTGATATCATTTCCTTTATAAACGGACGCTGATGGATGAATGTAGCCGACCACTTGCAGTTCTCCTAAACACATTGAAGTTTTAGAATTTAAAACCTCTCTCACTTCGATCACATTTCCTTGGTGGGAGTCGTTGGATAGGGAAATTCTTCGCTGTGGTCACTTCGTCGAACATCGGAGGGCAGAGACACATTTCCTGGAAACAGTTTTGTTGATAGAGCCAGCTATTTTTGGTTTGATCGTTTAAGAGACTGTTGGGGAATAGTGGATTGAGTGAGTTGCATTGGCAGCAAATCATCAGCTTTAACTTTAACAATGACTATGACAATGACTATCAAGTCATTCAGCGGGAAAGTTCAGATTTCATCATCACCAATCCGAACCAAACTAATATGGGGTTCGGGCAACACGCTAACGTTTTTACTTTTTGCCTAAACGCTCTAGATTTTTGTAAAATTTCATCATCATCAATCCGAATCAAACAAATATTTGATCAACAATATTTGATCAATATTTGATCAATTTGATCCCCATTGGTTGATCTCAGGGTATCTAAGGACCGCTATCGTTAAGGAAATGAAGAAATCCTTGGCGTAGTGGTAGTGCAATCCTTTTTTGTCACCCGAGTTCGACTCCCCATGCGCGCAATTCATTTTTGCTTTTCATTTTTCCATTTTCTTTTATTAAAATAACATTGATTTCCAGAAATGGAGCTGCTTTTTAGAAATGGATCTCGCTTCAGATATTGTTATTGATATTTTAGCCCAAAGGTTTCCAACAATTGTCATTTTTCATAGTATATGTGTTACGTCCATCTCTGAGGAGACGTCCATCTCCGATCCGGACGTCCGAATCGGAGATGGACGTCCGACTCAGAGATGGACGTCCGTTTCGGAGGAGAATGATCATTCTTCTCGGAATCTGTGATGAAAAAAAAGTAAATTGAGAGAATTTCCATTTTAACTTCCTTTTTCATTTGTTTTGTTCAAAACATTGGATTTGCATTTAAACTGTTTGTTCTCAAGGTCGGACGTCCGATTCCGAGAAGAATGATCATTCTCCTCCGAAACGGACGTCCGACTCAGAGTCGGACGTCCATCTCTGAGTCGGACGTCCATCTCCGATCCGGACGTCCGAATCTGAGGAGATTCATTCTCCTCATTCTCCTCAGATTCGGACGACCGGATCGGAGATGGACGTCTCCTCAGATTCGGACGTAACATATGTATTATGTCGAATTTCTGTTGATGAAATCTGACCGTTCCCTAAGACCAGACCAAGCAAAACCAAACCAGTTCCACCCAAAACACTTGACTTGGCTAGATTGTCAAAAACTTTTCAGCTCTTGAAACACCGATGTCTATCTACTTACATTAGCACACATCGGATCCGGGAAGCTGAATCGTTGCCGATATGGGCCATCCATAAGAAGACACGGCGGTTTACTTCCTCGTCGCGGTCCTTTTCGACAGCCAAGTGGGATGTCTAAAGATCTTTGGCTTTAAATATCTTCACTCAAAAGCTCACGTTGTGGACATGATGATGGGCACATGCATCTCTGAAAATGAAAATCGAATTAGAGAAAATATTGACTTTTGGTATTCTTATTGAATTCTAGGGTTCCAAAATATTGACTTCTGATATTCTTATTGAATTCTAGCGTTCCAAAATATTGACTTCTGATATTCTTATTGAATTCTAGCGTTCCAAAATATTGACTTCTGATATTCTTATTGAATTCTAGCGTTCCAAAATATTGACTTTTGGTATTCTTATTGAAATATTTTGAATTCTTATTCTAATAGTTGCCGAACATTATTGCATATGCACTTTTTTCTTTTTGTTAGGATTTTTGGGAAAACTAACCCCGTATCCATCGGCGTCTTTTCGGCATTTCCCTCTTGAAACGCAATCGTGATCGGAGTTGCAAACGGGGACACCTAGAAATTGAATCGTTTTCTGTTTCATTTGAACTTGAGCAGAGCTTTTGTAACTTTTGCATCTAGCAGAATCTGACAAAACTTTCCCCTCGATCCCTTCACTAAAATTTCTTTAATTTTTCTCATTTCCTCCACCAATAATCCCTTTTCCCATATCGATTCCCTATCAAGTTCCGAAAAAGAAGAAATTCTTGCAAAAATTGATCAATCCACAAAAGGTTATGTAAAGAGGAAAGGGGAATTCTCGTGTTTCTTCTCGAGCCGGCTTTAATCACATTGTGATTGGATAAAGAGAAAAGGATGAGAATGGGGAGAGAAATTTGAACGAGATACATAGATTGGAAGGGGGAGAATGAACCAGTGACGATCTTGGACGATGGATTTTCTCTCTTAAACGGTGAAAGAGACTGACTGATAACAGTGCCGAATGACCGGAAGTGGCCGCTTGGGGGAAGGGAAGGGAGGGGAAAGGAGGGGAAGGGAGGGGAAGGGAGGGGAAGGGAGGGGAAGGGAGGGGAAGGGGAGGGGAAGGGAGGGGAAGGGAGGGGAAAGGAGGGGAAGGGAGGGGAAGGGAAGGGAGGGGAAGGGAGGGGAAAGGAGAGGGGGGAAAGTGAGCGCGCCAAAACGCGACAAAACGCGACACCATTCACTCGAAATCCCAGACTCTTGGAAACGAATCGGTAAATAGATAGCGAGGATAAAGTGATTAAATTCTCGCGGAACACAAATTAGATGGACATTGACTCGAATTTGGACATTGAATTTGGACATTGAATTTAGACATTGAATTTGGACATTGAATCGAAAGACATTCAATAGAATTTCCTCAATTTGTTTGATTTGTTTTGTTTGATTCAACTGATGCCGTTTACAGGGGTAAAATTAAGGCAACAATTTTGTGCATTAAACAATTTAGAGGCAATAATTTTGTGCATTAAAATGAAGTAAACACTAGGCAAAGTTTTCGCTTTTTTTGCCTTGATGTTGCCTTGCCCACTCACCAAGTTCATCAGGTGTTTGTGGTCCATTCTTCTCAGGTGTTTTCTCTGTGCTCGCCAACGGGATCGTGATTTGTTCACTTTCTTCTGCATCCACCCGCAACAATAACAGTATCACCGACGTCCACCACAGCCAACAGATCGTTCGATGATCTGAGCATTTGTTTAGACATTTATAGGCAAACTTTCATTGCTTCTTTAAACTTTAAAGCTAAAAGATTTATCGTATTTAAAGGTGTTTTTTATATGCTAATTTTTACAACAGCTTTGTTTTGTTGTAGCTTTTTTTGAGTCAAAACAATTTTGACTTTGATTGACTCAATAAAAGCTATAAAAGCTAACTCAAATCTAAACAACACCTGTAAATACTAAACATTACAGTAGCCACCTGATTTTTGGCGTTTCATTGCCCGATCATCAGTTGCTCATTGTAGTTTTGTGAAAGAAATCAGAAAATTTCTCCTCCTTTGTGTTCAATGGGTTTTTTTCTGAAAATCTGAAACTGAAAATTAATTATAATATGCTTTTGAATAAGAATAAAAGCAGAAAGAATAAAGAATAGAGAAAGTAAATGTTTAGTTTTCGCATAAACGAAGAAAATTTGTGTAGTTGATTAAATGTTATGACTACTTTTTCGCACAGAGCAAAAAAACTAGGAAATAAGACAAAATTTGTTGCGTTTATGCGATAATTTTCCAAAATTGGAAAAGTTTTGGAGTCTTGGAAAAGTCTTGGAGTCTTGGAGTCTTGGAAAGTCTTGGAAAAGTCTTGGAGTCTTGGAAAAGTCTTGGAAAAGTCTTGGAGTCTTGGAAAAGTCTTGGAAAAGTCTTGGAGTCTTGGAAAAGTTCCAAATCACTTGAAAAAGTCTACGAATCGTAAATCGAATTGAAATTTCATTTGCTAAAAAAGTGATTGATTGATTAAATGAAACAAAAAATGAAATTATCTTGATCTTTCGAAAAATCAAATTGATTATTTGATTGATTATTTGGTTAACTTGCTAACACAGAGTTCTGTATTTAGCGCATTATTAACAAAACATTATTGTTTCGATTTCTGAAATTTAACTTTAAAATAGCGTCAAGAAGAGCGTCAAATAGTCATTGATTTCTTAGCCAAATAATTTTTCTTTCTTTTCTTAGCCAAGCCAAGCTAAAGCCAAGATTTCTATCCTAATCCAACTTTATTGCAAAGTTCGCAAAAAAAAATCCAGCAATAAACAAGAAGAAAAACTATTCGAAAAAATTGTCAAAGGTCAAGAACATCACCGTGGCTATTTTAAGAAAAATCATTAGCAAGTCCAAAAAGATTTTGGCCAAAGAAAAAAGGTAAAAGAAAGATAAAAGGTTTCCTCAAAAGAAAGAGATAATCAAGAAAGAGATCAAGAAAGAGATCAAAGAGGAACGGGGGAAAAAGAAAAGAATTGAGGTTCACATTGAGTGAATAAGTGAGAAAAAGGAGGAGTTGATCAATGAAAAGTGGGGTGGAGGGGGAAAGATGGGAAAGGGATTCGATTGATGAGATGAAAATTGGGGGAAAGATAAAGAAACCGATCATTGTGGATTGCTCCTGAAAAAGAGATAGATATGCAAGGAGAGACAAGATATCGATGTGATTGGGGAGAATTGGGAGAAGGGGGATGATCGCCTCAAGTTGTTCCCCGGAAGCTATCGATCAGAGCACTCTTTCAATCCCCGGAACTCGCAATTTATCCTTGCCTTAGGCTTTTCTCCGTCCGATATTTATCGAAGTGTTTATGTTTTATCGTTCTCAAAATTTTGCAATTCTTTGAAATGATGATTGGGGAGATAAAAGGGGATAAAAAGCTGCAGTTCATTGATATCCAAGCATTTTGCGAAAACCGATAAGAGTTGCAAAGTTGATCGATGAAATTGACTGAAATCATGCTGGATTACTGTAGTTCATAAAAACTTATTAGATTTACATTGAATTAGAGAAGCTATGATACTATATGAAAATGCTTACTTTCTCTCGAACTCGCATTTTAACTCATAGTCAGCATTATGAGTTGGTATACAAGTTGAAAAGCGGGCTCTTTGGACAAAAGTACCTTATTCATACAAATCTTCTGGCTCATAAAAGTCTCAAGCAAATAAATTCACACAAATGTGACCTCGTTTCGTTTTCACCAAAGAATAAACAGTTCTCTAAAAATTTTCAAAACTCTTCTTTTCACTCAACTCATGGCAATCCATCTAGCGAACAGATGGCATAATCTGCGTAATTAAAACCACAGAAATTAGTTTTCCGGAAATATTCAGAAAAAGGAAACGGTAAAGTGAAAAAGATAGAAAAAAAAGATAGAAAAAAAGATAGAAAAAAAAGATAATCAGTGATTGATCAAGCGTAAAAGTCGGATGTTGAGAAGTTGATCAACGATAGGGAAATGTTGAAGGAGGTCGGTGGTCCATATTCCGTTTGTGGCAATCGATAGGCGGCCGTTCGACCCCGGGAATGGGCAAAGAGAGGAGCTAGGGAAGGGGGGGTGAATGAACGGGCAAAGGAAAGGGAGGGGAAGGGGGAGGGTGGGTAAGGACAGGCACTGGAGGCGGAGAAGGAAGAGGCCGACTGATGCGTGCATTGAGAGGGGTATATAGGAAGAATGGTGGGGGAAAGAGAGAAGGGAAAAGGGGAGCGCGCGCCACTCAATCTATCCCCCGGGGGTCGATGCGTGCCGGAGTGAGCACCCCAGTCAATCCCCTTTCTTTCATCCACAACAATATCATGATTTTGTGTCCAGTGGGCTGATGAGTTGACATTGCCGAATGGTACATGCCAAAATAGACGTCAAATGTTTATACATGGTTGTGGATTCATTAAAGCCATCTCCTATTAAAAATCTACCACGATTTTCGGCAAACCAACTAAAGGAATTATACCTTCCAATCGTTAATTTTGACATAGTGCGAAAAAAGTTTATCATAGAAAACAACAAAAAAAATCAATGTACAACCAACACGCAAATATCCACATCAAAAATTGAAAAAAGCTACCGGTCTAACTGTTGATATAACTTTCAAAAACGAAAAAGAACAGAAATTGCTTCTCAAAAGTTTAATTTCAAACACTAAAAATCTAGCCTAACATTAAATCAACATATTTCTAATCAAGCTTCAATACTTTTTCGTTGTTTTTGTGCAGCTTCAAAAGCCATTTGCTCTCGAAGAAACTTTTCATACTCCTCCTTCCTTCTTTGTACTTGCATTTGTTCCTGGAAAATTGCAGTTGCAGAAAAACAGTTTAAAAAAGTTGATGGGCAGATCGAAAGTTTGAAACAAGCAACTCACCTTCCATTTGGCAAAGGCTTCATCGTTCTCTGTTGTGTCCGCTACTTTGTAGTTTCGCATCTAAAGTGAAGTGTCTTTACAGTAAGCAAAACCAAAACTCACAAATTTCTGAAATATTGACGGTTGATTAAAGAGCCAAAAAGCCGCCACGGGAAATGTCACACAGAGCTAAATTATAACTCCAGATTGAACAAGTCTAAAAACAACTCACTAGAAAACGACCGGTTTCCAACTTCCATCCTCCCATCCCATAAACGCTAAAATTGTGGTTTAAATGATTTCGTTTTATCGAAAATGCATAGTTAATTCCTTTTGGTTATAAACCTTCACGCTTTAAAATTTGATCCAGCTTTAAAAAATTTTATTTGAAAAACAACAAGATAACAACAAATCAACAACAATGAAACAAGTGAATCAAACATAACAAAAGTCTCTTATTTTCTGCCAAAATTCTTTTTGGGACCACTTTTCCCCTTTTTTCCTTTGAAGAGATCGTCGAAGCTAAACATAAATTAATTTACTAGTGATACTAAATTATACCTCTGTTTGGTGTTTCTCTTCATTCCCTTCTTACGTCCACCGAATCCGAATCGCTTATCGCGAACGTTTCGACTCATCTTTCGTTTTACCTAGAAAACTCAAAATTATGCCGAATTCGAGAATTTTTTTCTTTTCGTAGCAAACAATATCAAAACATTATAAATGAGTAACGGGGATTAAAATACAGACATGATCCATTTCCGCAGCAGAACCACCCCGATTCATCACCCTTCGATCGTCATCCGCCTAAAAATCAGCACGCTATACAACTCCAATAAGTTTTTAGCTTTCACCTACAAAAACACTGACCTCGTCAACCTGAAGACGCTTCGCATTTGAGAGCATATCATCAAGCTGCTGTTTCATTCCCTTGCGATGTTTCTTGATCGTTTCCAAGAAGAGTTTCTTCTCCTTTTGACGCGCATCAACCACTTCCTGAAAATAAAAGATTTTTTTACAGAAATCTACATTTTTATTTCTTTATATTTTACGTACGTTCTTTGTCTTGGTGGCAAACTTCTTTTCTTTTCTAATAGCTCGAATAGCTTCTTGACGATCTTTGATTTCTTGAGTTTCCAGTAGCCGCTTGCGAACCTAAAACAAATGACTGTTGCTTTTTTTCTTTGATAGGATCTACTCGTTATGAAACAAAAAATACTTTTTGCATATGTTCGTCCGACTTTGCCATCTCAGCGTAGTAATCCGTTGGGCGGAATACCTAAAATTATTTTGTTTTCCACAACTTTTTTTGAAAAACCGACCCTAACACCCATTGTCTGAAGTCTTGGAACGGCAATGGCTGCTGCTTTCTCAGCTTGCTTGTAGCTAAAAGCTAAATTTTACAAAGACCGACAAACAAAAGCCGTACAAATTAATTTCTCGTTCAAAGTCATTTGCATCTTCGGTTTCTTCAAACGCCGTTGCCGTTGTCGTAACATCCAATGTTTCCAACCAAGAAAGAGTTGGCATCTTCTCAAGTCTGCTCTTCAATTCTGGCTAAAAAAATCGTTTAGCTTCGAAACAAATAGTACGCTAAAACCACTTACTACAAGATTGATGATAGGGCGCTTCTTGAGGTGCACAATGTTGAGCCCATCTGATTTGATGAGACCTTCTCTCAAAGCTACTCGCAACTAAAAATTTATAAGAATTGTGGCAAAGAAAAGTTTACCTCTTCGTCCGTATCTTCAGCTTCTTCTTCGCTATCAACAATCGGTTTTAAAGTTGATGAATCCTCTTGCACCTAAGAATGACTAAATTATTATCAGACAATAAAGATATAATGTTAAGATGCCTAAGCGAAGCTTACATGTTCTGGAAAATCCAGCACAACATCGTTTTTAGAGGCTGGTGCTTTCTTTGCCACCTTCTTGACTTTCTTCGTATTCTTCATCTAAAATACGTTAAATGTTTTTATTCAAGCAAAACTATTAAAATTTTATATTATTTTTTAAAAAGACAAGTTAATAGTATCAGCAACGTTGTTTTTCTAATGACATCTCGGCCCCCTCTGCTTATCAAAGATTTGGCGTTTGATTTTTGGTGGAATTAACACTGCCAAAGCAAAATATTGCTCCCGGCAGAAGAAATTAAAAGCTTTTCGTCTGGAATTGATAAACAAATCGTTATTTTTCCAATACGTAACACTTCCTTCCTAAATTTCTTTATTCTCTATTCATGCCTTATTGCTGGAACACCCAAACCTCTGTATTCTTCTTACTTTTTGTGCAAGGTTTAACATTTTCGACAAGCCCTTGGAATCTGTACGGTGCTTGTCACGAATATGTTGAGGTATTTTAAATCAAAATAACAAAAACTTATTATTTTTAGAAATTTGCAAGCGTCTCGTCAGAGATGATAAACTGTGCTTTAAACTATTCGACTCCACCCTCCGTATGCCTCCACTGTTTTGATAAGTATCGAAACTTCAAAAGGGCTGAAATTATACTCCAGAATCTGGTAAAAAAAAACATAAAGCTGGAAATACAATAGATGGTTTTGGAATATCACAGTGGCAGGCACAAAATGCTCGGAGGTTATCTACAACAATTACGTCGTGTCATATAACAAAGAGATTGTTCAGTTTTTCACAGATGTTATCTGGCAGAAGTCTCGCTGTGAATGTAAGTTTATTTTAGAGTACTTTGCTTAAGAATATGAAAGTTGACCATAACTGAATAATAAAAAAGTGCATTCAGCATGCTTCAATTTCGAGTCTTATATGCAAAGCAATGACTCCTTTCCCAAATTTAGTGATCGTACGGCCGCTATACAGGTATATAGACAAAGTCAATTGAGCGTAAGCTATTTGAAATTTAGAATAAAACTCTTGCTTGGCGAAGCTGCATTGATACTCACAGCTTCCACGCACCAAATGAGTCCTATTGTTCAAGTTGCAAGGTTTGAAACAGTCCTAATGAAAACGGAATTTAAAAACCCCAGGATGAATTCAACGACATGTTCCAATATTATTGGGAGATTTACACCAAACCAGGCATCGACTTTTGTGTCGATGTTGAAACCCAGGTAAAACTGTTGAAACATTCAACAATGAAAGAAACTTTAAAGATGAATGACACGATCCACTTATGGGGAAACGTTTGGAATTGTCCTACAAAGGATGATGGAACAAGAGAGACAAATTATGTTGTGTACACGTTGGTACCAAACCGATTTGCCTATCAGCCGGCTATTTAGATTCGTTTTCCTTGCTGTAACTACGTTTTTGTTCTACGGAGCAAGCTACGCTCAGGGTGAACGAGAATCAAGACGTTTGGTCCAATGTAAGTTCGACATTGAAAGATCAACGAAAAACTTACGCGATCTAAATTTAGATTCACGCTTGGATCCACCACAGGGACAACGCTCTCGACTGCTTTCGTCAGCCTCAAGCAGTAATCTCCACGTGCCCTCTAATTTATACAATTTCTGATTCAATTCCTTTACTTTTTGTGTCATTCCTTTAAAGTATGCTGTGCTAAAGCTTCGAATTCTGGGTGCAAATTTCAGGTCCACCATAAAACGGCTATTTTCAATTATTCCCGAAATGTGATATAAAGCTTCTGGTTAAATTGATCTCACGCTATTCACTTGTAACCTCTTTGCTCAAAAAATGCCTTGCAGCTTCCCAAATAAATATTTTCTGTGTTTATCGCTTACTGACAAAAGCCGTTTACTCACGGACGGTTCGATATTTCAGTATTTTAAAAATTTACCTCGTTTTATCGATGATCACGGCTTTCCGGATCGCTGTAGCTCCTGCGGACCACTACCTAAATAAAAACGTTAGCATGTGAAAAGTTAAAAGATCAAACTATGAGACAAAATTTCATGCGTCAAATCATGTGTTCTTTATAAATTCCATTGCGCATAAAAATATTCAGCCCAACAGTTGAATATTTAGACTTTGTAGACAGTGAGTCTTTTTTAATATAAAATAACCTAAACTTCAGAGCTTTTATTTTTTGAATTGCAGCCATCAAACTGTTTGATTCTGTTACTCATCAAAAGTTATTATAGCACTAGAAAATTTAAGCACTTTTTTGTTTTGATAATTCACGTTTTATATCACAATATATGTCAATTTTTAGAGAATGGGTGCCTCGGGTTCAAAGGACTACTCTCACATCCACCACTCCCTTCACAGAAAGGAATATCACCAAGTTTCAGCTGATGGAGTGAGTTTTTAGAACCTATGGCTTTTGCTATGTTTGTGATTTAGATCGATGCAAATGTTGATCCAATCGGGCAATTTCGAGAACGATGTGAAGAGAAAGTGGCTGACTTGAAGGTTTGTTTAGGTTTCGCATCGATAATTTCCAATTTTAGGCCGTTCTCGAGGAGTGCACAAACCGCGTGAATTCGAAGAGCGCCACGGATGAAACTTGCCATCAAGAAATGTGTGATTACGTGCAAGCTCTCGACCATTGTGTAAGATTTCAACAAGTCATATGCGTTTATCAAAGCTTTTAGGCTATTCCACAAGCATGGAAGCAGTTGAAGTAATTGAATAATGGATTGTGTGCTCTACCGTTTATAGAAAATTTTTGTATGTAAGGATAGATAGTTCATTCTTATTGCCTTGTTTTAATCATATGCTCGAATAAATAATTTTTCGCAACTTTTCGGTGGATTAAATGGTTTTATCCATTGTCTTTTTTATAATCCTTTTCTTTGGTTATTTTCTAAAGCTAATGAGATCCTAGATGTTTCGATCATTGGTGCTTGGGTTTAAACCTGCCATAGTTGGTGCTTCTTCATTTCAGCTGCGAACGATATTAATTTCAAAAGGCAGGAGGAAATTGATTGAACATATAACTCGTTATTTTAGGACGTTTTCTACCTGTTGTTCAATTTAATCTGTCGGATATCGGTGAAGGTATTGCAGAAGTTCAAGTGAAAGAATGGTAGTTTCATCTCTAAATTGTAAGATACTGATTGTTTAGGCATGTAAAAGTTGGTGATCGAGTGTCTCAATTCGATAACTTATGCGAAGTACAAAGTGATAAAGCTTCTGTCACTATCACATCGCGCTATGATGGGGTAATCAAGAAATTGTAAGTTTAACCATAATTTTTCTTTGATGAAGATCTTTTTATTTTTTTTAGCGGAGAAACTGTTAATTTTAAGGCATTATGCCGTTGATGACGTGGCCAGAGTTGGAAAACCGTTGATGGATATAGAAATTGAAGGCTCTACAGAGGCTGAAAAAAGCGAAGAACCCCAGACAGCATCTACTACTGAAGCGGTAGCAAGCCCTGAACAAAAAGCTCCTGCAGAAACGCACAATCTCAATGGAAAAGTAAAATTAGTTTTATGCATTTCATCATATCTCGACATTAGGTTCTGGCAACACCAGCTGTTCGTCGATTGGCAATTGAAAACAAAATTGATCTAAGCAAAGTCGGTGGATCGGGCAAAGATGGTCGCGTTTTGAAAGAAGATGTGCTTGAGTTTTTGGGACATATCAAACGAGGTTAGTTGCTGTCTTCAACAACTTTAAATCTGAAATTTTAGATTCTTTTACTGCTTCAATCGAAAACAAGCGGTCCTCACCATCCCTTTCGGCCGCAGTGCCACCTAAAGCCAGCTATAGACAGTTGACGGAAGACAAAGTGGTGCCAATTCGCGGCTATACACGTGCTATGGTAAAAACTATGACTGAGGCGCTCAAAATTCCTCATTTTGGATACAACGACGAGGTAATAAATCTTTGAATTTTAGTAATGAAATCACTAATTTTAGTTCACGGTTGATAACCTTATTCATTTGAGACACGATCTTAAGGAATTTGCCAAAGAACGGTTTGTTTGTTGCAATTTTCAAATAAATAGACATTTTAGTGATGTGAAGCTTTCGTACATGCCTTTCTTCATCAAGGCTTGCTCTTTGGCTCTAACGGAATTTCCGCAACTGAATGCTGTTACCGATGGAAATCTTGAAAATGTTACTTGGAAGGTTGGTGTATTTAAAAGTTAAAATTATTTTGGTATTTTTAGTCCTCACATAACATTTGTTTGGCAATGGATACGCCTGGCGGGCTAGTTGTGCCGAACATCAAAAATTGTGAGCAAAAGAACATCGTCGAGATTGCACAGGTACTTTCAAAGCTCTGATAGCCTACTTCAATTAAATGCTAAACTAATCCTACCTATTAGGATCTTAATCGGCTTCATGAGAACAGCAAAAGGCAACAAATAGCTCGAGAAGACCTCACGGATGGAACATTCTCACTTAGCAACATTGGAGCGGTATGTTTATTTTGTTTTTAAAATAAAAAAAGTGATTGGTTTGGATTTTTTGGATTTGGATGATAAAAATGGAGTAATTTTTGGATGATAAAATTCATTTTCAGATTGGTGGCACTTATGCTTCGCCAGTGATCTTCCCTCCGCAAGTAGCAATCGGTGCTATTGGAAAAATTGAAAAGCTCCCACGATTCGACAGAAATGGAAACGTAAGAGTTGCTTTTTTTGATCTATTCCAGGTAGCCCAATGATTTTAATTTTAAGGTTTATCCTGCACATCTCGTCAAATTCTCATGGGCCGCTGATCATAGAGTTGTAGATGGGGCAACGATGGCCAGATTCAGGTAAACAGTTTGATGATGAATCTTGATTTTACACTGTTACAGTAATCGAGTGAAATATTACATTGAACGACCAGCTACGATGCTTGCTCAACTTCGATAATTTATCCTTTTTGTGTGATTTCAATCGGTGATTTTTAGAGATGAGCTTAATTGTTCGACAAATTTAATTGCATTTAAGTTTTATTGATCGGTTTGTTGAAGATTAGGGGTCATAATGTTTAACTTATTTGTCTTCTAAGTACGATTTACTTGCATTTGTTATGTTTTTCTGATTAGTCAGCACTTTTTAGGAAATGTTTAGAATCTTTTAAAATTTCTATGAATAAAGGAATTGATCTATTTACGTCACGAATCTACGCTCATGTCATTTTTAAATACCAAATAACAGAAATCGACAGTTTTTTTGTATGGTGCTCAGGGATGTTCAGTTTTTTAGCTTATTAGATACGTTGGAGCACGCTTTATCTCGCCTTGTGGTCTTTTTTAGAGAATGTTTTCGGCACAAACTAGCAAATCCCCTATTGCCTGGCGACTGGGCCGCTGAAAGAGAGTCTTTGGGTCGCCAAAATGGGTTGTTTGGATTACGACGGAATATTTTCCCAGTCTAGTTTCGTAAAGCGCATGATGTGAAGCTTGACAACAAGTCCATCGTAGCTTTTGCTTTTGCGTTATTGGTAACTTTCTCGATAGCAATTTTGTTTGCCCGTGAATCAGCTATTTCTCTTCACGTTCCACCAAACTGGCCATAGTTTCTCGATAATTAATTGTTAACCCCAGCCCTTTCTCGTCGCACCATGGAGACAGTCATAAAAAGGTGATTTTTCTACGTTTTTGAGTCCCGCCGAGTGGAACTTGGTTCCTTTAGAAGGAATCCAAAATATTTTTGTTGAAAGAAACCAAATAGCGACTTTATTTTGAGGGTTCAAGGTTACATATTGATGTTTGAGAATAACTACTATAGTTACTTTAATAAGATGAACTTTGTTTGACTCAAAATGTTGCGTGGGTAGAAATGTACTATTGGTGAGCAGTAAAGGTTTAGCTAATGTTTGTTCCTTTTTCTAATCGGTCCTGATTGCACTTTGGGCGAGATACGTCGCGGAAAGCGTCCCCCCCCCTTTCCCTATTCACACCGCAATCTATTTCTTCCCAAATTTAGTTTTTCACAAATTTAGTTTTTTTAGCCTACAAACATTATTAGCAATGTAGTTTCTCAGAATGTGGTCGTTGTTTATATGGTGTCGTTGTTTCGATGAACTCTTGTAAAATTTCGTGTGACTCACGGCTGCGTTTTGCTCTCGATTTCGTAAGAGATTCGGTTTCTCTCATTGCTTGGCGCTTTTCCAAGCGCTGCATCATGGGTAAAGAGACCGCTGATAAGTCACTATTTATTTTGTTTCACCACAAGAATCTCTGTGAAAGTGCTAAGTCATCGAATGCTTCTTCTGAAAATCTGATCTTTTCCCCACAAGCATTTCGTTTATTTTTATTTTGAGTCATATGGAACCGGCTATCCTATCGTACATCATTTGCGGGCGTTTTTTTCAATTTCTTTTCTCCTCCCGATAGACCCGTTCTTTAGATGAATAAAGAGTGCAGAGAGCGACAGAAAAAGATAGTTTGTTTGTCGTTGACATGCGCCCTTTTCCATCCTTGTTCTCTCATTGAAATTGCTCACCTTTTCGATTTCGGTCTTTTTTTTACTTTCGTGTTTTTTTCTTTTCATTTCCGGAATTTTTTACAGGAACCATAGCGTTCGTGAAGATTGCTCAACCTTCTTTGTCAGGTGTCGGGGGCGTGGATGGTGGAATCACGCAGCCACAACATGGATCCTTTGAAGGTTTCTTTTTGGAGAGTTTTCTAACTTTAAAACTTCTTAAAGACATCATTTTGTCATTTGTTAGAATCCGTTTCGACTACCGCTATTTTAGAATTCATTACAATTGATCATTTGTAAGTATTTTGTTTAGGAGGGATGCCGCCATCTACACAGTTAGTTGATCCAAGAGACTATAGGTCTTTCTGTTTCCGAGGGGAAGGACGAGCGAACTTTGTGATTTCTGCTAAGAATGAAACCACCGGATTGAGGTTTTAGTTGTATTTTTTCTTTTATTAAATTTTTGGTTTAGAATTGTTTGGAGATTTGCAAAACAGCGAAAATCTGGTCTGTTCACAGCAAAAGCGAGAAGTGAAGTGGTCAACAATTATATGAATCGTCTCATTGCGCCGTTTTTCTCTCCACAATATCTCGTTGCTCCAAGAATGGTTGTGTTTCGCATTGAAGATGTGCATCATTTAGGAAAGGTTGGCGGAGTGGTTTGCGGTTTTATTAAACGGTTGCGTTTTTAAGATTCCATCGCTGCCAACAAACTTGAAGGTTGAGAATTTTGAAGAGCTCTTTCAAGTCCCAGAGAAGTCTTCATTCTTCCCACTTTCATCAATTCCAAAGAATTGCACACGGTAAGAATTTTAAACTCTGCCTTTATTTAATGTTTATTATAGAAGATGGAAGGGACACAATTTTTTGTTAGAATTCCGCTAATGCTTTTTCTGTCTATTCTTTTTCATTCTTCTGAAAGCTATAAAATTTAGAATCTCCGCCCTTGAAATGATTGATGCAACGAGAATTCCAAAGGAAATCGGAACATTTTTTGGACCAACTATTACGGTATTGTTTATTGAAAATCATATGTGAAAAAATTGAAAGCTTGTTTTAGATTGAGATCAAGCCAAAACAGGGTTTCTATCAAAAGCATGCCGGATTTCCGTTGGCTCATTGTAACAACTGCGTCTTACAGGTTTGCTTCCTCAAAAA